AAAAAAAACGCAACCTTGTCTTGTTCCTACATACGGTTGCCACGAACCACGGGGATTGCTATTTGAGCTCCGCAAAAACCTGCTGGCAACCCGGACAAACGCGAAAAACGCGAAAAAAAAAAAAAAAAAATGCCGACACACTGTTTTTTTTTTTTTTTCAGACATTTCTACCTAATCCTAGTCATAATTAATGCTATGGATTCACTACGCCAGGTATACCGAAGCACCCAATATGGCCGCTATTTTGACCCCGTGTTAAAAATGACGTATTGGGAGGCGACAGTAAGCGAAATCCATTAAGAGGCAACTGCGAGGAAAAGAGAAGCCTTTCACAGAATTCTCTGGGAGTTCGGGACTTTCGATTTGACAGAGTTAGACTTTCCATTAGGATATTCGATCAATATTTTTACAATTTGAAGGCGACGGCACGAAACACGAAGTGAACTATTCTGACGTGGGATACAATAACTTTCATTCGAATTACGCAGTTTTTTTTTTCTTGCGATTTTAGAAATTGGTTGTTTTATTTATGTTGGGACAGGATGATGAACCCTATGAACCACTGTAACCAAGTAGTAAACCAAATTCCTTTCCGAATTTAGAAATATTTGCGTGAAGAGCCCGTTATATCTTTTCAAGCAAATTCGCTTCTGTGCTTTCAAACGCATGTTCTGAACCGCTCCCAATTTTATCTAGAAACCTTTATATTTCAAAGATAAATTTAGACTACATTCACAGGCAGTTGAATTAGCTCAAAGCCTGCGCGGCAAAAACCCATTCAATGAGCATTTTTAATCTATTATAATTTATTTCCTCACAAATCGAACTTAATCATGTTTAAATTTCGAGGGGATCTAGAACTGGACCTATGTAGCGAAATAAAGCCTAATCGTCGTCATATTTATTATATATGAATTTGAGAATTTCTCTTACACCTGTAAAACATCAAGAACATTAATGGAAGTCCGGCAACTATCTACTTTCTTTTTAAAGATTCACCTGCATTCTTTTAGAAATGTAATTAAATTATTAGGGGGGAATTGGATTTAAATTTTTTTATTGAGTTTTACTCTTTTTGATTTTGTTTTTGGATTCTATATATATATATATATATATATATATATATATATATATATATATATATATATATATATATATATATAGATAGATATATACACACACATCGTGAAGGACATACCGTAGCTATCATGCCGGATATGTTATAAATCGAACAACTTTCTTACTGCTTAGGATAACGTCATTTGTAAGATGCTTTGCAACTCATATTCGAAATAAGATATGAAGAATAGAAAAGATAGCGGGTATTTTAATAATTAAACAAGAAAACGACTTTACGCTGTTTTTGATCGTAGAAGATTCCGCGTATTTGGTTTCGCTTTTGTTCGCAGAGAAAATATGCAGCTAATAAACTGGCGCACACAGAATAAGTTACACAAAAGCTGTAGCTGCACTAAAGCTTTAGCAAGCGACACGGTTTAGAACATATTTCCGAGCCTGTTGACTCAGGAAGTTACTTTCGTTGCATTGTCATGATCAAAGGAGGGACCGAACGACCAGGACCACCCACGTGAAGAAAAATGAGGTCCATTAAATTTCTTATTATCGGCGAGAATAATTTGACATTAAACTCACTGTATTTGCTGTGAATACGTGCAAATATTTCAGACGCGAGCGATAAAGCACAATGTACAGCTACGAAATTTGCGAAGTACGTTCAAATGACGTCCATAAGAAATGCTCAATTTGGTCAAGCCAGGTTCCATACTCCTGGATTGCTTTTCATGAGAGTTTAATGAAGGGCGTTTGTAGTTTTATTAAGGAAATAGGGCAAGTAGAGAGCACGACACACGTAGCAATTAAATCGGAAGAAGAAAAAGAATATCGAAAATAATCTTTAAAAAAATTTCATGCCGCGGTATTTTGCTGAGACATAGTCAAGGAAGTAAATCTTTAAAAGAAAACACCCGTTATTTCCCAGAAGAATTTTTTAAGAGTTTAGTGAGCCTTGCAATACATATTTCGGTTTTCGGAAACTATAGTTTCCCAACCTAGTGTACGATTTTCGCAGATCCGGTACAGCTTCAAATTCGTGAACATAGATTTTGCTTTACCTCTATTTACTTCAATGTGCGGAAACTGAGTTTTGGAGACCGACAAACGGTTCCAATACAGTTCCTGTTACTGTAATATTTTTCCAGCGTTAACCTAGCTTAGCCAGTCTGAAGTTTCCCCTTCCTGTTACAAATCCAGTGTAGCCGATCTGAGAATCATATTTTAAGTTAAGTTTCAGATTTGTAAAATGGACTCCGAATTTTTAGTGAAGTTCCAGTTTGAAAAAAATCATACTAAATTTTTCGGTTGAGTGAACACTCGGCCACTGATAAATTTTGATTTTTCCGAACGATTAGAAACGCGCCGCTGGATGCATCTGCATTGTAGAACTATCGGACTGAAGTGTACGGCTTGATGTTCGTCGGTAATCCATACAACTAAATGAAAAAAAAAAAAAGAATCCCGACTGTCGCCTTCAGTCTAACGCCGTGTCGCGCAGTACATTTTATGTATTTCAAAATTGCGGACGAATTAATCGACATAAATACTAACGAACGTAACGCCCAAAAAGTGCTTCGTTGCATGCTCATCAAAACTGGGTGTTTAACGCCCATCTCATGGCTTTGTCCCTTGAAAAAAGAACAACACTAAGAGCGAATTAAAAAAAAGCACGCTCTAGTCAAATATACGCATAAATCCTGACGTCATTGCAACGTATCGCATTCAAAAGGCACGGCGCTCCGTCATTGTCATGTCACGACCAAGAAACACACACGACAGGTGAGCGCTCGAACACAATCGCCTCAAGCAAACCTGAAAACACAGAAGCCTGGCAGCAGCAACAGCAGCAGCAGCAGCGACGCGGCGCACAAGGGCAACACAATGATTAACTTTCCCGGTACAAACAACTGATGTGAGCAAAAGGGGGCGACACCACAAACAAAGACACTGAGCGCGCGGCGTACTGCACTACGGAATGCTCGGCAGTAAAAGAACAGCGACGACTTGGGACAGCGTGAGATCAACATACGAATGTACAAAAAGTGTTCCTAGATATCGCCGGGCATTTTGTCATTTACTTATTCGTACGCCTCTGCGCAGGCTCAACTATTGAACTGTTGGCGCCGGCACAGTCTTGCAGCAAAGACAGCAGGCAGAAGACGCGTCATGCCGTGCGGTGGCGCTGCTGCCTGCACGGCGCATGCGCAAAAGCGTCACCTCACACGACCCTGGTTTCGGCGCACGCGCAATGCCCGGGCCTTGGTGTGGACGAACGCGGACTTGTTTGCAAACATCAGGTTTGCCTATTTATGGTGAAGCAGGCTGCGGTGACCATCGTTCCAGTGGTTGTTTAAGCCCTGGTGTATGTTTGCGCCATTCTGAGGTAGGCCGGACAGCGTTAATGGTACAGCTGACGGAGCAACAAGCTGGACACCACGGTGTCGCATCGTCGGGAAAAGAGTGGGAGTGTGTTGACCTTTTCTATAGATGACCAAGACCTACAGTTTGCTTCGGCAAAGCGACGGCTGCTACAACCTGGTTAACGGGCGTCATTTAAAAGTGTACTCTCTAAGAGTTATAAAGCTACCTAATTACCACAGCTCGAAGATACTCGTATCTGCAATATAGAGTGGCATCTAAGACATGAGCACCGCGCCACGGATATGACTAGGTTTCAAACGGGATTACTGGTTTGAAGTATCTGTGTAGAGTCTGTAGACAATGGTGAAAGACAAATATAAACCCTACTGCTAAAGGTAGCCCAAGTCCCTCCACATTGTCCAGAAATCAACATCTTATGCATTGCTTGAAGTATAATCTTATACATAAAATTTATTTTTTTGAATGGAGGTCGACAATTAATTGGCGCCAGAGATATCATCATTCTTGGGATAACCTAATCTGAAGAACTGCTCCTTCAAGGTAATGTTTCTCTACAAACATATAAATATGAAAGATTCGGCTTACGTTGTTTAGCAGTAGGGATCCCTTACGGCTTTCATTTGCAGCCTTGTCAAGCTATCTGGTAAAGCAAATTTGGAGACATATGTAGATAAACTTGGTCGTGTTACCCTTGTAATGGCAACACCTAAGCAAACAATTATTTTTTGCTTCGTTGTTTTTATTTAAAACGAGGAACACTCCTTTATCCAAGAGGAAACGAATAAGTCCTTACACGATTAAAATCTATGTAATGGCTGCAATTCAAAGCCAGGCGGACCTAAATTATACAACGTCAATTTACAAACTGCAGTCACTAGACATGCGGGTTCGATCTTCTATTTAAATAAGCAAGGTATTACCATGAGCTTCACATTTTCTACCCACCGCTAGGTTCTCACTCTACGAGATATACAAAGAAATTTCACATCCCCGAAACGACGCTTTTTGACTGCGGTGTACCAAAATGACAAGGTGTTTTTTTGTTTTTTTTGCCGCCCCGTGGAGTGGTTCAGGGGGGGGGAGGTGGGAGATCACACACACCCAGCCAACACCAGCTAGGCATTAGGCCGTCCTGCTGAATGTATTTCGTCATTTACCGAGTGCCAGCGCGTGGCACCTGTTGGACACGTCAGCGATTAGTCAGAGAGAACAAGTCCCTGCAGCCGAATGTTTTCCGAGCGCTCGTGTCCGACCTGTGGCAAGCTGTGGCATTCCGTCAGACATTCGGCGCCCTACCTACGGCCTTGAGTTGTTGCCTCAGCTCGCGGAACCTGGTAGTGGCCGCGCCTCAGACGGTGATATCGTAGAGGTCCGAGTCTCCGCGTAGGAGGTAGCGGACGTGGCCCGCCGTACGCATGCGGAGGGCTGCTGGAGACGAGGCAGGTGGGGGCGGGGGCGGGGGCAGGTAGAAGCCCGCGGGGGGATCATGGGGGGACCTCCTCGCTTGCGGTGACTCGAGCAGCCCCAGCATGCCCCTCTCGGTGGTAAAGGGCTCCCGGCCGTTCACCTTCACCCGCCGACTCTGCAGCTGCATCGTCGAGCGCAGGGTCTTACGCTTCTGGAAGCGAGGCAAGAAGGCAAGGGACACGCACGCCCCGGCGTTGCATCGCTTGGCCGGGAGGGCATGAGTGCGAGACCGGAAGGACGGCCAACACTCTGCGGCGCCTGGAACGTATCTCGGACTGGTGTGTTTTAGCGTCCTATGGGCCTTCAATACTAAAGGTTTGTGATACAAGGCAACCGCCTCGATAGTACAAAATAATATCGAGAGATGGGCCTAGCTCGCATGAAACGAACGGCGGTGTGGCCTGGTTTCTTTACGGTACTTGGGGCGCTGTAAGGTGGTGGGCTTTTTACCACTCTAAAGGCCGGTTCAGACACTTGCGTTTGAGTGCGTTTGACTGCGTTGCGTCGGGAACCGAATGCGATTCACCGGCACATCGGTGCTTTGTATGAAGCGTGGAATCCAATTCAAGGAATCATCTTGGCACGCGATATAAGCAGCAGGGATGTCCTGGTTTCTCGCGCCCGCAACGCAGTCAAACGCAACTGTATGAACCAGGCTTAAGAGTGCAACGAGATGACGGTAGACGGCGCTGTCATACAAGGGGGGGGGGGGGGGGGGAGGTTGTTGGGGGTGGCTCTGCCTAGTGGACGGGTTCACCACGACTGATATTCCGCTGTAGAGAGCTACCAGCGCATGCTCAGAACACTTTTTACAGCCCGATAGACAAAGATGGCAGCGTGCAGGAGGCGACTCTTGCCGTTTGGTCTATACCGCGCGCCACTACATCAAAAGTGGTCCTGAAGTGGGAACAAATGACGTTACAGGAGCTGACGTTTCATGTTGTCGAATGTCGCGATCCTGGTGGCTGGTGGTACAGATTCCGGCGCAAAGTGCGAGCGAACGCGACTGTCGCTGTCGTCGCGGCACCCCAACTCGTAGCTGACTGCTGAAGCTTCGGTGGACGATCAAAACGCAGAGCGACCTGCAGCAGGACAGGCGTCTGCCGCATCCAGCTACGCCGATATGCCGCCGCCTTGATCGTTGCAGGCGACATAGTGATACTTCTGCAACGAGGTTTTTGTTACTGTTTTCAGGCTAGGTGGCGCAAGCTACCGCCAGTTACAAAAGGTACAGCCGTTATCCTCCATCTATCCATCCGTCATCAGGCGGAAATCCAGGGACCGCATTTGAGGACGCGTTAGACACACCAGTCGTAGACGCGTTTCAGGAACCATACCGGTTGTCAGTCGGATACTTTTGGGTGTTCAGTGGTATTGGAATCTCGAAGTCACAAGCTTTACCAATTCCAAGAATATACATAAAAAGAATAACACAAAATTCAAAATATGGAAGGAACGAAAGACGCAAATGGCACGCATGAAAGTGCTCAATCAAAATTAAAAAAAAAAAGGCGTCTCATCCCTTTTTTTTTTACCGTCGATGTAATGTATTGATTGCCTAGGTAAAAAGCCAGTGCGCTTCTGTTAAAGCATAGCCTACTTTATACTGAGAAAGCCTAGCAGATCGCCACGAGACGCGGCCGCCGAAAGTGTAAAGGTAGTGCAGCAGACAACGGCTGAGAGGAGAGGCATGTAACGGGCGCTCCGCTGCGGCGAGACGCCAAAAAACACTTGTCCCGAGCGGTGGAATGTCCGCTCGTGCTCCTCGCGTTCCTCGCGCACCGCTTCTTTTCTCGTCCGGTTCGAAAACCATGTTTTGGGTCCTCGCCGCTGCAGAAGCTGTAAGCTGAATATCAGAAATGCTCTCTGCTATGAGATCCTCGCGCTCCAAATCTGCGATTGGGCACTCTATTTCTCCATCGTCGAACTGCCAGGCTTTGTGGGTATAGAGGAGGCTATGGTTAAAGGTAGCTCGAACATCTAAATTGACTGTACAGAAAAGCTCTTAGTTTGCATCACTGTGAAAAGTCATAGAAATAAGTGTTTCTCGCGAGGCTAAGGTCAAAATAGCGATATAAAATGCCTTTTGCACCTTTCTTTGTGCGCAAATGCCTTCCAGATAAACTAAATCATATTGTGATGAAGGGGTGGCGTAAACAACGGGCGCGTAATTAGGGGCGAGGAGGTCGCTTTTTACTTGAAATAATGCACTTGCCCTCCATGGAGCTTAATCTTAAGCTATCGTAATTTTTGTGTAAAAACCACCGGAGCTTAATTTTAAGTACAATTATTAGGTAAAAGGGAAAGGGGAATATTTTGTTTTAGTTCTATTTGTTGTAAAAAAAAGGACCCGAAAAAGAACTTGATGTATTTGTGCACTGGCACCTCTAATTCTGACACGGACGGGAAAATAACTAAGAATAAATTTGGAGTTGAATAAAGGGAGGTTTGAATATTTCCAATTACCTCTCTGCGCGCTGTGAGATCTTCTCTAAACACTGATACTCAATAGCATAATATCTGCGTCATCCTGATCACAAGACTTTAATTTAGGCGCGTAATGAGGCCATTTAAAAAAAAATATCTAGAACGGTGCGTGGTACCAAATGCGTGCATCAAGATCAAAAGAGTACAACGTATTCAAATACTACGTACAAAAGCAAGCGGAGGGTGTGACGGGAAACCAGAGAAATGAGGAATCTGATGACATGCCCTATAAAAAGAGGCAAACCATGGGACGATATTGAATAAAAAAAAACAACGAGGAGTGCTAGCTAGTGGAACTAGAGGATTGTGCACACATCGGCGTTTGACTGTGATCTAGTGTGTCGTATCATCTTGTAACCGCCAAGCACTAGGGAGGATCAAGTGAGGGTGGATGCAACTGCTAGATCGAGGATCACGAAATATGGACACCATTTAATTGCTAAATTTTGCTGGGAGTCTATGGGACTAATGGTCGTTTTACTTCCTAACTCAGGTCCTCAGAGTCTATGAATGTGCTTATATAATTTACGCAAGGTATAAATGATTACTTTTCCCTAGCTACCAGTTTTGTTCCGATAGGTTAAGTATTTGTTTAACGCAAAAAAATAATAAATTCCGCCATCTTGGACGTTGTAGCTTGTCTGGCAACCCTGTTTTCTCCTCTCGACGTTTAGAATTCCCGGAGTGAAAAGGAAGCGAGAAAGGCTGCGCCAAGGCGTTCGTTGCTTGCAATGGGAGGCGAGAGTACGAAGTGCGCATGGAGGAACAAAGTTGCAACAGAGCAGGCGTCTGCTCTCGTGCAGCCAACATTGGCGCATATTCGTTCCCAAACTGTGCCCAAACCTCTCCCTCAGGCGCCGCCATTGAATTGCAAACGCTCTCCAGGTTTTGAGTTGCACCCATGGACCCACACTTGAGCCTCCCTACCAAGCACACTGGTCCACTGGCGCCATCTGTCGAGTTAAGCAACTTGCGAATAACTAGACTGCATGGAGATTTCTGTGCATTATCTAGGAGATATAGTCACTTCGAACCTTATCAGAATTATTTCAAGCTCGCGTTGAAAGAATGGCGAGTAATAGTGTAATATATATATATATATATATATGTTTATCCGAAGTGTTTCACGTCTATCGGATAGATGGCGCTCGCGTGCCAGTGTGTTAAGCGGTTACGAGAGATCAAAACGCAGTCGGTCAGAGTCAAACGCAAGTGTGTGCACCAGCCTTACGACTATGCGCCTATGGCCTACGGAGGTCAGGCACCAGGCCAAAGAAGCATACGGTCTTACCATTGCACGCGCAAGAAGCGGCGGCCAATGATTGGTCAATGCTCTATGCGGTCCGCCCGTCACACCCTCTGCCGTAAACGTTTGGCGGCTTGCGAAGTACCGAATCGCTGTCTCATCTAATGACGAAAGCGTGGAGGCACTGGTTAGGAGAAGTCAGGGGACGGCTTTGTCTGTCAGTACTCTGGAAAAATGCCTGCACTTGGCGATCTGGGCAGCGCCGAGGAACGCCGTGGACAACTCGATAGCCTCTCGTATGCTTGGACATAAAGCAGCATTGCTTGCTCCAAAGATGTTTATTTTTTTATTTTTTTCAGTAATAAATAATAAAAAAAAAATAAAAGCCTGGGCGATATGTCGTTGTGAAACCTTCTGGGTTTTTGCATCGACTGAAACCCGGAAACCTATAGACGTTTCGGTGCGGCATTCACCACGGAAACAATAGGTGAGTTTGAAGTTGTCCATTGGAAAGTGCTGATTGTAACTATTTCTGTGGCGTAAATTTGACTAGACGGCCATTGTTTGTAGTTTTGGTTGTAAGGCCGTCAAGTGTTTTAGCGTGATATATTTCACGTTCCCATCAATTTTGAGTGGCTTTCGACGAAGCGGGAAGGATAAAAAAGGAAAGACTATACTGTTTCATTAGAAGTCCGACCGTCGGCGACGCTACAAGACAATGCAGCCAATCAAGCAGCATCAAAAGTCCATTTATTTTGTGCGCCATTGATTTAGCCAGCGACAGCAAAGCCGGAAAGACAAATAGCGTTGGGAGGATGCACGTACTGCTTGATTGGCTATGCGAGTCGAAGCTTGAAGTGGAGCATAGACATGTTTCTTTCCACAAATCGTGGGAAGTTTCTAATCCGATAAGGAAAACCTAGCTCCGAGGGACAAAGAAAAACTTAATTTGAACGTTCATAAAATAAGTAAAATATCTTTGAAATACATCGCTTACTTTACACGCGTTCAAAGTTCGCTTCCCTCCGTCCCTTAGAAGCTATGTTTATAAGAAATTTCCCACGATTCGGCAACACGGCAAGTTTCTGGATCCCTGCACACGGGAACACGCCGTTTCAAGCGACTTCGGTTTCGCTCGATGTAGCTATTGTTCACACTTTAAGGTCAACGGACCTTGGATATACCAACTCCAGTGTTTATTTTGGATGTGACCATATTACTTTAAGAATATAACTATTATTTTCGCGATCAAAGAGCTCTAATATTAATTCCTCTCGTGTTTTTTTGTTTGTTTTCACTGCACTTGCCTCGAACATGTAGGTAATAGGCATAAACTTTATAATGTGTTCGCATGTAATAATTCAATGTTTAAGGCACTTCCAACACAAAAAAAAAACAAGAAAAAAAAAAAGACAGAAAGGCACGCCAGAACATTGCGCCAGCTCTAGACTTACCTCGAATACGCGTTGAATCACTAGAGAAGTTTTGACTCTGACCGGGACGGGGACATCTATACGTCAATGCAAAACAAACGAGAAAGGAAAATAAAACAAAAAGAACATACCAAACAAATAAACAAAACGGCACATTTAACCAAAGAACACAAACTGAATGTGCAATACCGAAATTCCATGTTTTTTATATATGCATAAAGAGGGGGGGGGGGGGGGGGGAAGAAACTAGATGAAACTAGTACCGGTTATTCTAGAAGTAGAGAGAATAAAATTTTAAAATTTGAATTTAAACCGCAAGAATGGACATACACATGTGTTCTACAGCTTCTTGGCAGACGTTTTCTTAAACTTACGCTGCTGCTTCTGAAAGTGTCTAGACACATTAAAATGTCGAGAAAGAAAAAAAAGACATCTCCAGAACCGAGTGCTGTTATAAGGCATAGTTGTCCTACACCTCTCTAGGGCTTTATTGAAGTGAGGCTCTTATCAAAATTGTTTTTGGGCAGCTAAGCCGGGCTCCATTTCTAGGTTGTTGCGCCAATCAGACACCTTTTGTTAGCAGACGGCTGCCGTAGTTAGTGAATTCACGCTAGTTATACGCTAATAAATGTTTTACACTTTCATTTTTATGCAATTTTGATACACAAGCTTCAGCCACCTCTGTACAAAATCTTGCCACGATACGTTCAAAAACCTATATATGCAGTCCCTTCTAAGGGCCAATGATGCATTGGACTCGCTCGGTACATATCTAGGTTTCATGTACATTGTACGACCTTTCAGTTACGGCATCTCACCTTGTGACTACTACTCTTCGAAGCACCAGAGGCTCTTTTCACGTTGTCCAGAGTGTGCGAAGGAACTTTCCCCTCACAAGAGTCACTCGAGTCTGTACCACAGCTTGGCGGACTGTCCTTATTAACGAACCGGCTCCGGCGGCGTCTCTTCTTCTTCTTTGCCTTTGGAATGTCCGAGACCGGAGGGTCCGTGTTGGTACCCACGCTCCTGGTGCGGAGGGGAGTGGGCCACGCGAGCTTCCGTCCCTTCTCAACCGTCGCGCCCCCTGCCGGAGCGGTTGCTATGTGCTCGCGGGACACGGAGCGGTCGGGCCGGGGGCTCAGGTCGTAGCAGAACTTCATAGAGCGCAAGGGAAAAAAGCAAAAGATAACGCATGCAAACAAAAAAGAACACAAAAGAGAACAAAGTCCAACAGAAAATGAAACGTCGAAAAAACAGAAGACAAGACAACGATAGTCTGCATGATCACTGGGTGGGTGTATAACTACCATACTGTCCGGGTGGTTTCTATTATGTGTGTGGACAGCTGCGGAACCTAACGATCCCGGGCTCACTCCCCATTCCCTACCCGTTTCGATCTGTATGAGCATTGAAGCGGCGTGCGGTCGTGTATTACTACTGAGGGACGCACGTCATAAACCCCAGGCTTGCAGTGGAACATTACTGGCTACATTTCTCATCTATAACAGACAGACCATCGCCCATTTGGGCTAACTGCCCGACGTCCAAGCAGGAGCAGAACACAATTACTTGTGTGGACACAAAAAAATGTCGTTGCTAAATGAAAGAGTGTAAGCGTCCGTGTACCTCTCTAATGTTTTCAATCTTTCGCTTCTAAGTATTCCTTATGACAGCGCGCTCGAATTAAGTAGTACTGCTGAACGCCTGGAATGTTGGAGTTTTGATGTGGTTGAAGGACTAACACCCTTTGTGTCACTTACACGCCCCAATTTCTCCTATTTTATAGCCCCTGCATCTTCAAGATGAACCGCTTTTGAGGTATCATTTTTGCTCTATATTACGTTGTACTCGAGGTTAGCATCCAGTGGAGAAGGAAGTTTCAGGGCAAAGCCTGTCTTGTTTCCCTCGAATCGCTCCTGGAGGATATTTGTACAGCCTACCCAAAAGCCTGTACTGCCCCCCATACACTTGTTCTTAAAAACTCCCAATAACATGTAACATGGTACGTTTGGTACCTTACACAAGTTGAGATCACAAAGGAGGGTTCAGGTGAATACAGCGCACAGAAAGACGAAGATGGAGAGCTCTCGTTCTGTGTTCTTCTCTCTGTCTTCGTCTTTCTGTGCGTTGTATTTACCGAAACTAGTCACATTTAATACGTCTCGAAGGCTCGTGGTTAAAAGAATAGACCTCTTGCAAAACGCGCGAAACCCTCCGGGGCGCCGAAAGGATTGCTGGGAACATCCTGTATAGAAGCGGCTGTAAGAGACGACGGAGGCGACGTAGGGTACGGAGGCAAGCGGGAAAGGGCAGGTGGCTAAATGCGCTACCCCCCTCTCTCCGTCACCTTCTTTAGGACGACCATACAGGGCTTTCCCATGATTCGTCGCTCGCTTCGCACGCGGCCTTTTAAGATTTTTGCGAAAGGTCTATTGTGGGCTGGAGAGACGTCTAGTGTTCTTAATTTCCCGTTTCAGGAATAAGAGCAAGCGTTTCTTGTGACGAGCAATATTGAGCGACGTACGGGGGTGCGAAACATGGACTCACCTCAACAGCCCCACGCCATTTGTCGGCGGCGTGCCTGGCGAGCTCGAGCCTCCGTTGCTTCCGTGTCTGGTGCTTCTTGTACACGATTTCTATCACAATGAGCCCTATACCACCCACGATGCCGGCTCCGACGAGGATGAACACGCCTGCGAAGATGAACAGGCCAAGCCATGCGCGGGGCAACACACTGAACAGTCCGCTTTTAAGCGACACGGACCGCTAAAATTCTCGCGGCGTCAATAAAAAGTATTCAAACTTTGTTTGTTTATGATGTGCTAGAAGATACCAAGGACACCGCTTCGTAACATCGCTCATTGCACTCACTGACTGAATAAAGCAAGGACGTTAGGATTGAAATTACTTATTACGGTTCCTGCAATGCATCTTCAATTGGTGTGTTTAGCTTCTTGCTAACATCGCTCATGCATCGAAAATGGTCTCGAAGTTGCACAAAATTACGTCAAGGGAGCCGGCGTATCATGTAGTCGGATATGTCGCGATTCTGGCGGTTCATCCCAAAAGTTCCCCCCCCCCCCCCCCTGCGGCCAAAAAAAGAGCGCGAGCGAACTTAAGTGTTGTGGTCACAGCGTCCCGAATCCTGGCTGCTAAACGTCCTTGGACTGTCAAGCTGGAGACTATCTATGTGGAGAGCAAGTCGTCTGCTTCTTGCGCAAGAGGTGCGCTGACGTCCGAAAGACGCTGAGCTGCGATTGGCTCTGATTGAGGGATAGTGGTATAGACCTCAAAGCAAGCTGCTTTGAGGTCTATCCACTATCTTTCATTCAGAACCAATCACAGCTCGGCGTTCTGAAGTCACCACAACCTCAGCAAAAGAAGCAGACGAACTTGCGGTCCGCATAAGGCTGATGCTGTGATACCGCTATGATCGCGGCAGGTGACACCTGTATTGCCTGATGACGCCACACGTGTGGCGTCATAGCGTCAGAAATGGAGAGATCAAGAAGGGAGACCGCGATAAAGAAACCAGTCAGAGACGCGCTCCAGGCAACACCATACACACGAAGACAACGCCTGGGGTATATAAAAGCATTTTCGATTACCGTTGTCATAATTTGCGGTTCTTGACGTTTCCAATTTCAGACACATTCGCTGTCTTTTTGAAAAGACAGCGACCCAGGGCAGATTTATAGAAGGGCGTTGATATGTACTCAACTCGAACGGTGGTGGGTAAGCCGACTTGTCGTCTGTGAATATCCACAGCTTCGACAGTGCGAAATGAACTTGGTGAAATTTATAGTTCTTTGACAGCTTAAGAAACGGGAGCGTGCGTGACGCCTCCCGAATGTCTTATTGTTTGAACGTTTTACGTCGTTCCGCGTTTTCATCGAACTCAGCTGGCCGATACGAACGCCACAGAACGATTCACGAAGCAGCATAAGTGTGAACGTATATGTGCAATGCAGCCGCAGGGCTTGTGCTTCATAAGAAATGAGGCCAGAAGCATCTCCGGTCACGCCACAAGCATGCTCGAAGCAAGTTTGCGTCTTACATGCTCCGTACATCTCTGAAGACAGTTCCTTATACGACCAACGTCATACAAGGAAGAAACGCGCCTTGGAGAGTGTCTGCATTCCGTCTTTTGTTCGATGCACAAAGGGTCCGACCGTGGCTTAAGAGAAACACGCACAACTATGGCGGCCAGTGAACACCTCCAATACCTCCCAACGAGTATGTTGTTTTCTCTCTCTTTGGCTCTTAATATGCTCGCCGTAAATGTACATTTGATAATTGCGCGCTTGCCCCAAAATACGAGTGAACAACGAATACTGGTTACTATTAAGAAAGAACGGCGTACGTACCCGCCATGTTGGTAAGCCCCAGTGTCGCTGGAGTGCGTTCGTTTTTTGTTTCACATTTTTCTCCACCCCGGATGATCCATTTGCTGTCCAGTTGTTCCATGTAACCACCTGCGCTCAAAAGTGCGACGTGAGGGACGAGGAAGCAAACTGGCTCTACAAGCACAAACAAGTGTGTAATAAAAATAAAATCAACTTGTCGCTGTCTACGTAGAAAATAGCTTGCTACAGCAAAACATGAATTCTTCCCATGCAGCACATGAAAGGGGCCCCGCGTGGGCCCCACGTGGGTAAAATGGGTTGGGGCAGCCCCTGGAAATACCTGCGTGGGTCCCACCTCGGCTATGCAAGAACAGAGTTAGCGTAATTGTCGGCAAAGCGAGGGCATGCCCAACTTGGGCTGCTCATGCAAATCACCCTGAATCCCACTGCGGCTATACGGGTGCAAGGTTGGAATAAATGAGAGCTCCAAGGGCGCAAAGCGTTGGCATGCCCAACTTGGACTACCTGTGCAACTCTCAATATGGCACTTTCCGCTGATATTGAGAATATATTTACTGCACGTTCCGGAAATTCGACATAGAAGATATACAAAACCTGATATCGTGGATACCATATCACCGATATGGTATCCAAAACTTTATTACTAACTTACTACTTTGCGCGTATGTTAAGAAGGTCGTTTTACGCGGGGTGGAATTTTTTTACGCAGAGTAATAAATTTGAGGGGCGAAACACGCTCGTCAGAGTTTCGTATCTTTTCTAAAATTTGGTTTCTGTAGAGGGCTTAAGCTGGTTATGTATCCCGATTACTTGCCCAATAAGATCTTATATGGAGATGTGCATAATTCTTTTTATCAATTTCGTAGAGTTGAAATGCCCAATTTTTCATGGTCTTGCTCAAGACGTTTGATTGATCTATCAAAATGGTAATATTTCCACTAGGCACACGGGGAAAGTGCGGCGCGCTCAATTTGGTATGCACTTCAATACCCCGTACCGTAGGAAAATTGTGAACTGATCCGAACGAAATTAGGTTCTCGGGCCACTGCTTGTGAGCTGCCCAAGTAGACCCACTGTGGGTCCCCCGAAGGTAGACCATGTAAGCTGCCAAGTCAGCACCTTGTGGGTCCCCCGAAGCTGCCGAGGTGGGCTGCCCAAGCGGGTTCCATTAGGGGCCCAAATCGCAAAACCAACGTGGGACTCAGTTAGGCTGCTCAAGTGGTACGCACGTTGGCTCCCTTTTCAGAGCCCGCTTTGTGCTACTTGGGTGAGTTTATTTTATATTTTTCTTCTCAAAATAGGTATTAGACAGTATTGCTTTGTCACAAGCAACTTTTACACTTACAAAGGAGCACCAAAGCGAGATCACTGTGAGAGTAAGGATGAAAAAGCAGTCAGGTTTGGTCATTCCCGACAAAATTCTTATACGTAGAATACTTTACAGGGTCGTTGATGTCGGCCTGATTGTGTTTATATCACGATTTGTCAACTAGTGATGCATCACGTGACGTGATCACGTGATGCGTCACGCGGCTCAAGACAAGATGTTACGTCTTTATACTCTGCTCGCATACATAGTAAAACTATCAATGTCGGTATCAATAAACAATACACGGGAGCTTTAGCTACGTCAAGTTCTGTGGTCACATGACACTGGGGACGTCACTTCTGTGCTGTTTTTTTGTGTCAATTTTTCGTGTACTCTCTTGTGTCTATCTTTTCCAACGTATCCTCCCCCTGACGCGATCTTACGATAATAAATGAAACAGAAAGTGGCGACTCACTTTCGTGCATCTCGAGTAGCGTGAGGGTGACCTTGTCGACCCAGAAGGAATTCCTTTGGAGGCCTATGCCGTACCCCGAACGTCCAAACTGTTCTCCGGCGGTGACCAGCTCGCAGTGCTGAGCAGCCTCAAATTCCAGCCGAGACGAGTCCCAGATGAAAGCATCCAGTTGGCTGCACAACAGTCAAGGCCCGTTCACACACTTGCGTTCGGAGCGACCACTATGCTTACGAACGAATGCAACCGCTGCGACTTCAACAACAACTGTGCGCGACGTGTACACACACATGCAACCATACGAAGCAACAGCCAACGAGAAACGAGCTTCAACTCTTGCTCCTACCCAATAGTATGCAACCCAGCTACGCTTACAAACATGGCGGACGGTTTCCTGCCCGACGCGAGGTCCTCAGACTCCTCACCGGAGCAGCCGGAGGTTTGCGCTACGGCGGACAGTCACGAAGATCTGCTGTGCGCTACAATAGCTGTGTAAAGGCTGGTTCTGACATCTGCAACGAACTCGTTATCCACGACTGCGTCTGTTGTGACCAGAGCGACGGGAACGACCGCTCTGCGCCGCGCGTACGCTCCTGCAACCACTGTCCCAAGCGCAGCGGGTCGGCAGCACGGCGACCGCCTCTCCGCCGCCGTCAGCTGTTTCAGCGGTGCCTCTAAAAAGAAGGGGACGCTCTGCCACTCTCTTGCGTAACAGAAAATAGACAGACCGTCTTTTATGACCTAAACTTTATTTATTTATTTTTTCAGGATACGCTCGCAGGGTAGCGCATTAAAAAAAAAAATAAAAAGAAACGATGCAGTACGCCGTCTTGCACGATCATGACTTTAATACACGACTTTGTCAACAGTACAAATCTCGCCACTCGCCTTTTCAACGATCACAAAAGACGATGTAATTTTAGCAGCGATATAGCAACGCAGAAATATAATTTCGTGATCAGATAGGCGTTGCGAGCGTTCAGAATTGTTAACACTAATCACCTTTCTCGGGTGATGAAAACGAGTGAAAACTTCGCATCCTTTATACGGTACGCACCAGTAATACCTTGAACTTGAGCACACGCATGAAATGCGCCAAAAAAGAAATCCGGGTGATGTTCGAGGACACAAATGCTAAGAAAGCACCACTGTAGTCGAAGTAAACAAACACGACGGCACGAACGTTTCTGCTGTCTTGAGAGTGCCGCCACGAGATCGCAGCACGAGTAGGTGGATCTTCCCTTCTAGTACGTGCTGGGTTATCATAACGACACACGACTAAAATTCACAGTCAAGGATAGCGCTTTTACTGGGAGCGATGAACGTTCACCGCGCCGTCCATGTTGACGATCACCACCGACGCCATGTTTGCAAATAGAAGGAGCCTGGCACGACCGGCATGCAACGCGCGCGACCGAGCTCTCCTTGACCTGTGATTGGTCTGTCGCTCCCGTCGTTCCCGAACGTAACGAAAAAGTTCAGCCCGGCTCAACTCCTTGCGTTGCGAACGAACACGAACGAAACGACCGTTTGGCGCTTCGTTGCTATGGTAACTCGTCGTTCCAACCGGTTGCATTCGTTCGTAAGCGTAGTGGTTGCTCCGAACGCAACTGTGTGAACGGGCCTTCAGTCTTGTTACACTGAAGAACAACGTCTACGCTTGGCTTATTTTGAAATCGAAAGCTTACAGAAACTACAAGAGAGGAAGAGAGAGGACGAGAAAGAGAGACAGAGAGAGGAGAAAGAGAAAAATAAAGAGAAAGAGAAAAAAGGAGAAAGAGAGGAAGAGAGGGAGCTCTGGGCTTTCAGCGTCCCTGCCAAGTACACGCGCACTCGTGAAGTGCAAGCGTCATTCAGGGCAACAGCTTTGGCTTTTATCGCAGGTAAAGTGAAACAAGCTATGGAACCAGTTCAACTTTTCTCTCTTACTTATAACCTGCTATCCCGTACCTATATAAAAAAAAAACGTACCTATATATATATATAAAAAAAGTTAATGTCCACTGCAGCTTGTTTTTTTTTTAAATTCGCGATTAATCATACTGAATCATATAATTTGCTCATTTCTTATTTACAAAAAGAGCGTTGACCACGATGCACTGACCTGAAATGGCTCTATCAATAGTCAATCGTGATCAGTATGAAATATAAAAGATTGGAGCATAAGGCATTGCAAAATTTACATTACAGCATTACTAAATCACTTTGACTTATATACGTATGCAGAGGTTGCAAACTTGTAGACAAATTAACCAACAAAAATGCAGCGGTCGTGCTGGCGAGCTGGTGAATTATGAGATACTTCGTAAAAGAAGACGAAAAAAAGAACGCCTCAATATCTATCCTGTGTCCTCTCTTTTTTTGTGTCTTCTTTCTTCTAGTAAGTTTTTTTTTCTCAATTTTTACCATAGTCTCAGGTAATTTTCAACACAATCAAAGTAACCAAATTAAGTATAGTAAGCGATAAAGTTACCATATTCTTCAGTGACATTCCATGTACACCATACAACGAGTTGGATGTAAAAGCAGTGGTGTAAAGGGAAGCCATGTAAACATTTCTGCTATTGTCGAAACCGGTTATAACGAAGTCGGTTATAACGAAATTACGGCTACAGCGAAGCGATCACGATTTCCCATTCCCTTTCGCACTTTGTTAACCGAAGTCGGTTATAACGAAATAGCGGATATAGTACACACAAACTGTCCTACTATCTACGAAACAAAAGGCTGTAAATGGGCACCCACTTGTTCTTCAGGGCCTCTATGCCTTCTTCCACCGAATCGTAGTTCTTCCCTTCCATGATCCGGTACATGTTCGAGAGTTCCACTTGTCTCCGAAAGTACATGTCAACCGCACTTCCTTTCACCGTGGCGTAGGTAAAATTTTCAGACGGGTTCCGCAACTGTTGGGGAACACAAGATGAAGTCAAAAGCCCGTGCCAAATGATCAGAAATTGCATAGAGAAGAGCGGCGGACGCGCTGTGCAATGTTAACACCTCGGACACCTTAAACGAGGTTGGAAAGTAGTATCGTGGCTGAAAGAGTAAAGTCGATAGATACATCTAGAAAAAAAATAAGGGATTATATTTTCTAGCATAAATAATATATTACATAAAAATGTGTAGACAACCTTGTGTTTTTTTGTGTGCTTGCCTTGCATCTGTTGTGCCGCTCTGAAACTTCTATGGGGAACGGGACCTTGGTCAAGTGCTATGAACTACCTTATGCCCTGCAACCCCACTTCAAAATGACTAATAAGTGAAATGAAATGAAATGAAAACACAGCTATGTGCATTTTGCATGCTTACTAACCTGAATACCTTCTTTTGCCATACTTTGAAGACTACTTATTTTGCTCGATAACACTCGATGGAAGCGCCTCTTTTCTCGTATGAAGTTTTGCCCTTGCCCATATTGATTTATATAGAAAAATGAATTTTTACGCAAATCCCATCTACGCTAGTACATTGTGTATTAATAACAAGAGTGACAGACAGACTATATTTTACAATACGTCACAAAGAAACAGTGATCATGCACTACAGCATGCCAGGTATACGTATTCAGTACCAGGCTCCTAACTTTAGGCTGTTATTTTTGGAGCAATTAAGGAGGCAGACGAAACCATTTTTGTTCGAACCGCACCTTTATGGCATGGGCAAATGCTTTGAGAATACTGAACATATACAAAAGCTCTAGACGTAACATGCTTTTTTGTTTTGACACCACGTTGAGAGATAGCTCAAGTTTTAGGACGCGGCGGTAACCTGGATTCAATGAAGGCTTTGCAGACAGGAAAAGTGTTGATTATTCAACGTGTTTTATGTCTGCTGACGCCAATTACGACAGATCATTGACAATATTGGGCGCACCACCCGAACTGAAACTTTCTGTATGCGGCAGGATCCTTGTCGCGGAAGCTAGCGCCATCTCTCGCTGTGGCCTCCCTCTAGTAGTTTCGTCTCCAGCACACGAGACGAGTGTCCAGTATTCCCCTTATTAAACTATTTGGTACAAGCGTGAGCAAAAAACACGCCACCGACCCTAGGATCGTTGATGCCTGAGAGAGACGACTCCGGTTTTTCCAACACGAGGAATGCCGCCAGGTTGGCAGTGTAAGATGCGACCACAATCATGGCGAATCCTGCCCACACCATGCCTAGAACGCGGCCACTAAAGCTCCGAGGAGTTCCTGAAAAACAAAAGACACAATCAAACACGAGGTCCCGAGTCACAAACAGCGCAAGAGAAAAACGAATTCGTGGGCTGGGCCGTCAAACACGTGACGGCTATTGCACGTGTTCATATTTTTTGTCAGTATTGGCGACGTGCGCGACCGAAAGCGTCGCTGTGGTCGGCCTTCCACGGTTGGCCGAACGCTTACTATGACGTCAGAAAAGGATTTATCATCGACGGAAATAAGAGGAATGAAAGAACTTTAATTTTGACGGTGTTGGCAGTGTTACTTTGAGAGCGCAATGATTTCAAGCTTCCACCATGCTATTTACAAACACCATCGTACCTGTTGCTTGCAAGGTAATGACGTCACAAAGGGGAACCGTAGGAGGTCGCCACTAAAACATCTCGCCACTAATATCTCGGCAGCGGGCGGACGCTTCAAACCCCAGAGGGCCGATGAGAGCGGTGGCGCAAAGAACGTGACAGTTATCCAAAGGAAGATATCAGGTATGCGAGTTTTACGTGCAAAAGCAACGAAGGGCAGCTGGCACGCACCAGTGGAAAACTGAGGACTAATTTCGGTCTCTTTTGACATTGGGCAACCGAAATCTCGGTTACAGGGCACCTTCTTCGATATAGGCCTCCGTTAGGCTGCGGGTACCTCGGCCGGGATTAGAACCTGCCACTTGGAAACCCCTAGGCCGAAACTTCGACTCGGAGCCACTATGGAGCGCGGCTCCACATGAAGAGTGCATGCCGATACTCTCCATTGTTCCCTGCGCTGTTCTGACGATCTGATTAGCTCCCTTGGACCTTTGCTTGTGGAGTTTGCAGGAATGGGGTATAGCACAGTAAAATTAAGTCATTTCTAAAAAGAAAGAGGTACACAGAACGGTAATACTTCAATAAAACTCCCGAAGGCTAGACACCGGAATGTATAGTAAGAAGACCGATTGATTCTCATTCAAAAACAAGTGAAACGGCAAAAGGAAAGTCTGGGAAAGCGGCTACGTGGCGGCCATTTTTTTTTTTTTTTCTACTTGGACCCTTTTAGTCGAGTTGAGAGTAGTGATGTGTCGCCGTTCTCGAGTGTCAAGCTGTAATAGATACACGAATACCGGACACAAGCTCACCAGACAAACGCTCACCGGCCAAAGCCTCACCGGACAAAAACTCCACGAACATTCTTCTGGCCCGGAGAAAGGCTTGCCCATTTTTACTCGTTATCCTATTTTTGCCTAGAGCGAAGAAATAGGATCCTTTTTCCCATGGGGGAATGATGTGAGCGGCTTCAAGCGCCATAACGAACAGCGTGTAAACATGTTTTTTATAGACATACCCTTCACAACGGCCATTGGTGCGCTTCACTGAAGCTCCCAAAACAGGCGAAGATTGCACAATCTAAACTCAATTCAATTCAATTCAATTCAATGTTGACATACAACTCACCCAAGAGCACCCGGCAAAGCCTAAAAGTAAGTCCTTTTAGCCCAATAAAATTGCCACTAAAGTACGCTTTACCATGCCAGGTAAGAGCCTTCCAAGACTTTGGCCTTCTGTCTACAGCATTTGCTATGCTCCATGTTTTGGAAGGGGGATATGGCTTCGCTTTCCCCTTCAACTCGCCTGACGGTCAGATATCGGAAGCCAATATCTACGGGACTTATTTATTTTAAGTAAATTATCACTGGAGTTATGCCATTTTATCTGAACCATGTATTCACTCGCGTTTGGATGCTTCGAGAGAGCATAATCGAAGCTGTCATTCTGAACCAATTGTGTTTTCTTTTTAATCGTATCTCAACTGATTGATGCCGTGCGATAACCTCCTGTGGAAACCGCGGCGTTTTGAAGACAAGAGGCTTACAGCCCGAGTGTCAGTGAAGGAGGGTACTGACCTTCAGCAATGCCGCTGTTGAGCAGTACGCCCCACGCAAACCAGATGGCGCTCGAAAGGTTTAGGGCGTCTTCTTCGGTGGCGTCACTGTTGGGCAGTTTGTAACGGCCGAAAGGGCTGAACCTGTCCAGCAAGTAAAGAGCCAGGGCCACCACGTGCACTGACACCATCACCAGAATCCACAGGGTCTTCTGGAACGGCTGGAGGAAAGACGCCAGGGTGGAACTCTTGTCTTGCTGCAGCGGGGAACATGCGGAGAGAGAGAGAGAGAAACAGAGAAAGAAAACGCTCGTTACATCACCATAGGGTAACAAAAATCATTTTTTGTTTCAATAAATCTAGTTTATTTGATTTAAATCAGATTTATGTGATTTAAATTAATTTGATTTAAATCACTGTAGCTAGGAAAGAGTGATTTTTTAGAGCGCAGCTTTCAGGCGCCCGTTTCCAGATTGAGCGGCGTCGCCGTCGGCGTAACCACGCGTTGCATTATAGGACGTATCCCATAATAACGTCACTCGCAACCGCTCGTTGCGTTATGGGACGTTTCCCATAGAAAGTCACGAAGGTCACGAGTGAAGGTCACGAAGGTCACGAGTGAAAGTCACGAAGGTCATGAGTGAAGGTCACGAAGGTCACGAGTGAAGGTCACGACGAAAATCACGACCTTCACGTAACCATCACTTGTGAAGGTCCCGACCTTAACGAGTGACGTCATGAGGGTCACTAGTGACGTCACGAGAAGTTTGCGTGGCGCCCCCTTACGGCGAACCAGGGTGACGTCACGGCGAGGACATAATTTTTTTCCTGACTCGCCCCACTCGCCCTGTGCAGGCTGTTACGAAATTAGCTGTCGGCGCGCTCGTTTCTATTTAATTTTGTTTGTTCGCGTCTTTTGTATCAAGTGTGTATTTTCATATATGGCTTTATTGAGGTATTGAGACAGGCGGCGCATGACTAGCAGCACGTATATGAAAACGAATAAATATGACAACAACTGCAGGAGCATCGTTATAGGTTTACATCTCATGCAATCAATGCTGCTTATGGTCTGAATGAATCGGCAATTATGTATACTGTATTTCGTGTTTTTATTTTGTATCTCTGTTTTGAAACAAAAACGCCGAAGCAGAAAAGCTGCATGCTGCTCGAGCAACATGTTAAATATAGTCTGGGCCATGGAAAGAGAATCACAAGTGAGACAGCCCAAGTACAGGGACAACGTAAAGAAAGAAAGAACACTTGCATATACCGGTTATTTGATTATATCCAGGGGCGGATTTAGAAGGGGTCCGGATGTCCTGACCCCCCTCTTGATTTCTGCATGTGAAAAATTTAGGGCGTGCAACGAGGGAGAGGGGGTTTCTAAACATATGGTACAATAACCAACACCTGACCACCTTCCCCCTCCCCCTCAGGAAATTCCTGCATCCGCCCCTGATTATATCGGTTTATACTACTCCATTTGGTCTTTGCTAGATTCGGATTGCATTTTGATGAACTCCAGTGGTAGTATTTGTTTAATTGTTTATAATATCAATCACATAATGTACAAAAAAAAACTTAAGTGAAGGTGTCTAGTTCGTTATTAGTCCATTCTCGACAATTTACGTTTTACAGGCTCTAAAAGTGAGATGTTAGCTAAATCAAATTGTCCTCAAGCTAAAACACCTTAAGATTTTTTCACGCATACAGTAGCACTTTACAGGTTCCACATTTTTCTGCAACCGGTGCAGCATCTTCCACGGGACTACCGTTTGAATGCTTGCTGTTCCTCCTTTTTTCCTCTGTTGTCAGAAAGTCCAGCTGTAAGGAGTTTAAAGGCCGAGAAGCTTTTGGGGACCTGCAGCAGTGTGTCTTTTACCTTGAACTGACAATTCAAACTAAACGGTGTATTTTCCGAACACACAGGGTTGGAATAAAAGAAGAAATAGGAAAACGTATAAACATTCCAGATTACGGTACTATTGCTGTGCATATTTTGGGTAGTTCAATACCTCATACAGGAAACTGGGGGCAATTCGGCCGTTTTTCCTGCTACCTTACAAACTAATTTCCAGTAATTGTTCGTATTCTAAATATAAAGCGTGCCTCCATACGTGTACAAACTATATCATTAATTCCCGAAGAAGCTACATTGATGTAAAACAACCCTGTTCCACGAGCATTTCAAATGCCTTCATACCCATGTCCTTTGCAACATCTGCAAACCAGCACATGCGGAATGGGGCGCGCAGAGTCCGGGTCGCGAGCTAATTTGTCGACCACCCAAAGTCCTTTCATATAAATGTCATTCGAAAGGCCTGCAAAGCACGATGAAATATTCTCCTAGCTCAAGAACGTGCAAGGAACAGAATTCCAGCGTCTGAAACACTTACGCCGCCGTTTCACCGACCCCTCGCACGATCGCCCTGTGTAGTGTGGACGGACGGAGAAATTCATCGGCGGAACTGCTTCCGCCGATAACTTTTGGTACTTGTAACCTAATTATAAAGGTAAAAGTGACTAACACGCTTAGAAAAGGTACGAAAGCACGTCGGTATCGGCCTAGCCCAGGCTCTTGTACACCCGGAAAACGAGGTCCCGCTCCTCGAAGTGTTTGCGGCATACAACGGCCGACGTTGGCGGTGCCTTTCCTATTCTTAATTTGATTGTTCATGCTCTCTTTAACCCCTCTATGTTCGGGTGGGGAAAGCAGATACCGGCTTCTTTCCGGGATTTGCATTGCGCCACTAAACAGTAGGTCAGCATGATGGCAAACCAGGAAACGGGGGCAGGGAAGCGTACCGGATGCGGGGGTCGCAAAGCGGAGTCCATCCCCTGACGTCACGGCACACCTCAACCAATCAGGGCGCGGCGACCGCAGCGACGCTTGTGTTCGCTTTCGGGGCCAATACGTCACGAGTGACGTCACGAGGGGGAGAGAGGGAGAGGGGAGGAGGAAGGGAGGCAGAGGGGGTGTTATGTATCCCGGGCGAAGCTCAAGCCACGACACCGAGGAGCGTCCAGATGTGCTTTTAATGGCGCCTGGAATTGCAATGCCCGAGCGCCCGTCCCGTGCCCAGGTCCGTGCTCTTGAAAAGCGCGGGATAAGCGCGTGTGCCCGGTGACGCCATCTCTTGGCCGCCAGCGGATACATGACAGGGGGATGGATGAGGAGGAAGGAGGAAGATGGGGAGACGGAGAGTGTACGGATAAGGAGGGCCCTTCCCTCCTCTCCGTGCCCTCCGCTCCTCCTTCTCAAGAGCTGCGTTCTAATTCGGCATTACGGGGTGTTGTAAACGTGTTTCATTTTTTTTTATCGCTGTATGTATTTTTAACCATGACATACTGATTGATTGATCAATTCCTTTGATAACTGAAAATATAAGGGAAGACATGACTGCTGTACATGTAAACGTTTTAGGTACCGTTTCATTCACAACTTTTGATTGATGTAAACCCGTCATACGAGAATCAAAGCAGCTTATTTTTAGTTAGTGAAAACGCTGTGTTTGCTTTTTCTTTTACGTTGTGATTGGCTTGCAAGAAGAAATTGCTTTTCTTGTTTTGGGTTTCTTTATTTCGGGCTTTGATTTGCTCGCAGTAGCTACATTACGTAGCTGATATACAATCTGAAACGTACAAAGAAGACCTTTATGATTTCCTCACAAGAGTTGTTCCCGTTCAACCTGTTTTAAATCTTTCTTGCCTGATGATTCTTTGATTGAAATACAAAACAAAGCGTTCAACCTGTTTTAAATATTTCTTGCCTGATGATTCTTTGATTGAAATACAAAACAATTGTTTTGTATTTCAATCAAAGAATCATCAGGCAAGAAAGATTTAAAACAGGTTGAACACGAACAACTCTTGTTGTTTTGTATTTCAATCAAAGAATCATCAGGCAAGAAATATTTAAAACAGGTTGAACGCGAACAACTCTTGTGAGGAAATCATAAAGGTCTTCTTTGTACGTTTCAGATTGTATATCAGCTACGTAATGTAGCTACTGCGAGCAAATCAAAGCCCGAAATAAAGAAACCCAAAACAAGAAAAGCAATTTCTTCTTGCAAGCCAATCACAACGTAAGTGAAAAAGCAAACACAGCGTTTTCACTAACTAAAAATAAGCTGCTTTTATTCTCGTATGACGGGTTTACATCAATCAAAAGTTAAGTGCGCAAAGAAAGCATCAAGTGATAGACAAGCAGTAAATAAAAAGTGTTATGGCGATTATTTTTCTCGGGAAAGGTTTGATTTAAATCTTGATAGTAAAACCGGGGTGACATAAATCAAGATTAAATTCATCTTAAGTTTTATTCTCCACCCTGCTTCATCGTAATCATCAGCAACACGTGACTCAGGGAAAAAGATAAGACACACTGCGGTGGCGATTTTCATCCTTTCTTGCGCCATTTGACCGTTTTGTTTTGTATATGCAGGTGGCAAAAATACCCTATTCTTTTGGGGCCATATTGAAAACCAGAAGCTGGTAACAGATAAAAAAAAAACGGACAAACACACACACCGTCTCAAAGCAAACACACAGTCTCAAAACATCATGAAGTTAGTTTACCAGCTGGCCTGCGTTTTTTTCACTTTCATTATGTGAACCACTCTTTTCAGCGATACCCTTTAAATATATTATATTGTGCTTACTTAATGCACGTATCCAGAGTGTTTTGGCTTCAGAACTAGTAATTTTAATATTTTAGCACAGAAAGAAGAACGGTATTTTTAATGAGAAACGCAGCCGACCCCTCGCCGTATATTTTTACTTCCTGTTTCTTGCGGAGGATTGCGTGAGGCGATGCATCATTACCCGATAATAAAATTTGTAGTAAAACAAGAACCCCGAAAGTGGCGGCTAGTGCCGGCCAAGCAAGAACAGGCGTAAATAAACTATTAAAGTGATTTTAAAAAACAGTGCTGCATCACAGTGCATACATTAAAAAATAGGACACGTACTAAACATGAATTTAAAAAAAAATCATGGTATTGTTAATTTAAGTAAATCATATTTATTCGATTTAAACCAGAATATAATTTAAATCAATTCAGCTAAATAATGACTCTCTATATTATACTTTGATTTCAGTACACTATTTGTTTAAATATTTTTTGCGCGAATGGTGTGATTCACATAATCATAGCAAAAAGTGATTTTATTGAAATCATCTTGACTTTTTATTTTCCACCCTGTCCTGAACCGGTAACGCACGATCTGCGTCACGAGTTCGAGGTCGTTTGGTTCGCGAAGCCTGGAAATCCACAGACTTGCCTTTTTCGCCAGGATGGTGATTCCTTGGTACTTGAAGGGTTTGGTGAACTCGATCTCCATGGACCTCTCCGGGGTGATGGTAAGGGGTGCGATGATCATGTCTGCGACTCCGCGCACGAGGTCTCCCACCATGCCAGACCAGCGCTTGTGCGTTGAGCCGTTTACCTTGGGAAAAGATAACCTACGCATTCACAGCAGTTCAAAGAACCAACGCGCAAAACTGCCACTTATGCGAGTGGAAAAGCATAATGATTATGGCGATAATGATGATGATGAATGGAATGGATGAAAATGCCTTATAGTGATGATGATGATGATGAATGAACTAATAAAAAGACATGCTAATGATGATGGTGATTAATGGACAAATAAAAAAGCAGGATGATAATAATTTTGAATGAACAAATGAAATTTATGATGATGAGTGTAAGGAAGAAAAGGTCAATGCTAATATTCTGTTAGATCGATTGCGCTTTTCTATTTCTTTTCCGAAAATATTATTATGTGAAACGACCGTTAGTGCGTTAGGCGTGATGGTTCCTATAAATAAACACAAAAAAAAGCACACCGGGATAAGTTCTAACAGAAAAAGATACTTTCTTTGACAGATGTTTGGAGAATTCTCTTCACGAAGCGTTTGGCAAATGAAGCATATGTTGGTATTTGTATTTCTTTTAAGGTTCATAACTTTCTTTTTGAAGATTGATAAGTACATTGAGTCTGAGCAATAAGTCAGACTGGTAATGCTTGTCATAGACAGATGATGTTATGATGCTTAGATGAAAAGCTTTGTTAAAAAGAGCGGGAAGTTCTCAAACTGATGCTGCCTTTTTGGCTGGTGGGTTTGAACAGGGAACAAGGAATAGCAGATGTAACTCCTTCATCGAATTTTTGTTTCCTGACTGTCAGGTCATTCCTCACATATATCTTTTCTTTCAATAAAAGAAATACAGTTAACACGAACATTTTGAGGTTTTCAGATAGTAAAAAACTACTTACGAAATCGAAGGTTCCGTATTGTCCATCTTGAACTTGATATAACGTATAAGTGAAGTTGAGCTTCTGAGAGAGACTTTGCAGGAGATCCATGCAGTAGCCCTCGCAGCAGAACGGGTAGGCGATTCCTGGCGAAAGGTGCGGGCGGCACAAGAGTTTGTGCGTGTCCTTGACAGTAGGGAGTTTTAGTAGATCGTTCCAATGACTCCGATAACAATGCCCGGTACTCCTACACCGCATTTGCACACGTATCGAATCGTTATTGGGTATTGTTATCGGCGGTATCGGATGTATCGGAAAGATCTACTAAAACTATCTAGCATTAAATGCCCGTCTGAAGTTCCGACTATGACATTTTATTAAAACTGTGGCTCGGCACCAAATGTGGATATACTTTGTTTCACCTAATGATAGGCCACAATTAACGTTACCAGCCATTCGAGCCAATCCAGCGCTGTGAACATTATACGTGACAACGCGCAACGCGCGTAGGTTCTCCCCAATCGAAGATCACGTGACACTAACGCTGGCATGGGATTGGCTTCGATGACTCGTAGCTTTGCCTGCGGTTCGCCGTAAGGTGAAACGTAGTAGCATAGGCATCGAGAAAACCAATACCGTATTGGGGTGCCAACATGCAAGGAACCCCAACTGGCCCTATTTTGTCTAGGTCCTTGGAGGCGTTATTGAATACGATTGTTTTACCATTATTGCGTTATATATTGGATATAATTTAATTAACCCGTACTTCGGTTAAATGTTTAATTAGAGATGACTGACTAGCTATTACCGTCGTTTTTAATCGTTATTTTAAAATTTTTACTTGAAGAAAACTTTTATTGTGCACTCCGATGTGAAGAGTTATGTACCATGAGACCAAGAACAGAAGGTGTTCAAGTGTTTACAGTCTTGTAGCTTCAAGGAAATAGAACGGTCTATTTATATATATAAAAAGAGTTTAGTTTTAAAAGTACTTCATAAAAAATAACGACCACATGAACCAGCCGCTAGGTATTACAGTACGCAATACAAATAACGTCATATAGTCGTCCTATGCTAGCATACCACAACTATAAAGTGAGAACGTAAAGTAAAAGGCAACTATATCCTTTGTTTGCCGGAATAATATTGAGATATTGAGTGAGGGTCTAACCGTATGATACTCTCTCCCCCACCCCCCATTTGTTCCCAAGATTCACTTTACCGCATTGATTACAAGGAGATTCCGCAGGCAGGTCGAACACCGAGTTCATGTGCGTGCGTATGGAGATTCGCAGCGCCAATCTGCCATACGGGGGGCGTATCGGTGACCGGAACTTCTATACCGCAGGATAACGGGGTTGTTGGCAGCTCCAAAGAAGGTGACGCCCTCCGGCGACAATGGCGTGACTCTTTGAAACGGGCAGCCTGCGCCTGCCAAAATGTGCAGCGAAAACTTGCGCGGCCTAGCGGCAAAAATGTGAAACAGCGGAGTGGTGATTAATTTTCCAACCTTAAAGTGGTGCAACTCCAGTGCCCTCAGATTCGAGTGTTTCCAAGTGCTCGATTAAGGTTACGTGATTTATGGGCAGCGGTTTTACAATATAAGGTGCGAGGAGGGAGGAGGTATCGAAGATATCGGAATGATTTACTAAAACTATCTGGTATCGCTTGCGAGCGTCTCTAGGCTTTTGCTCAGCCTCTCTGCCCCGTTATCCTCCTAGCCGCCCACGGAAGCACGCGCGTGAGCAACAACTCTGTGCAAGAGGTGTGCACACGTCATTAAATTGCAAACGCTGGCCAGGGTTTGAGCTGCGCTGCCTTACTTAAACATCGGTTCTCTACGCAACTCCAGAGGCTACGACGCAATACAGCGACAGAAACGTGATATAGTTTTGTAACGAGAAAGTCGCACCTTGTGAAATGAGCAGAAAAATTTCTTGGCCTGGCGGCGAAGATGTCAAACAAAAGAACGGCAAAAAAGATGCAAATAGGTGAGGCAATGCCCCCCAGACGCCAAGACGCGATTTTCAGAAACGGGGATCGAGCTCGCGTCCGTGTAAATGTGCAGTGAAAACGTCCGCTGCCCCGCGACGAAAATGTGAAACAGCAGAACGGCCATTATATGCACACAGTTTAAGCCAGAACTTCAGAGAAGCCGACACCACCCATCGACAACGACGGGATTGTTACAAACGAAGAGCTGGCGCCTGCCGCAATGTGCAGCGAAAACATCCGCGGCCTGGCGGGGAAAATGTGAACTAGCGAAACGGGGAACAGATCCACACAGTTGGGAGTTGCGATTGGCACTGACCGTCCGAGCTGTTGGTCCAGGGACAGAATATCTCGGAGGGCAGGCAGTCGGACTCGTCCGCGACGGGCCTGACCCAGACGAAGGGGCGTTCGGCGATCGTGGCCACCTTGAGGTGCTTCGGGATAACGTAACCCAGAGGCGTCTCCGTCCGGTTGCCAGGCCACACCACTCGGTCCAGCTCCAGGTCCAACTCCATGCTCATGGACCACTGTGGATATGTAGACATGCCCGAGACTTGATCTCTATGGTAAAGCTAAGGAGCGTAGAATGGGAGGTGAAGATGTTTTGTGCTTGGTACGGTTTTCATTATTATTTAAGTTCAAGTATTCTTCCGAATTACGCGACTAGAAGAATATATAGCCAACACCTCCTAGATAAGAAAGCCATTGCACTGGGCAGGACTACAGCATCAGCATTCGGCCAACACCTACTAGAAACTGAAGCCTGCGCGTTCGCTCCCTGACGTCGCTGTATGTAGACCAGCGAGCGGAAAAGCGACAGTCGGCTGGGCGCTGGGCTTCGTTCGGCCGACGCGCTGACGGGGCGGCCTGTACCTTTGATTGGAAATATTGTATAAATGTCACATACCTGTGCGCAAGGTTTAGAAGATTCTCTAACAATCTCAACTTCTCCGGTTCGAATATTAAGTTACGACGACTGAAAACACTAATGATAAATAATATCACTACACCCTTTTCATTATTTGTTCACTTAATGTCCTTCGTAAAACCAAAGCGCTGCTCTGCAATCGCATCTATTGTAATTTGAAACATATTTTGACGGTCAGGCTTACCACACAACTGGAAAATATGTTAAATGGTATTTTACGCCTAGCGCCTTTCAAGTAGTTTCCTGAAAGATGAAAGGAACAGTACGTTCTCGACCTCCCAACATAGGTTGTATAGAACATTTGTATTTAAAATGTACAAAAAATAAGTGACAGCTCGCTAAATAAGAAGTCAATTGTTTTATTAAAAAAAGTAGTTTTAATAGAGTGAAACCAGCAAATGCAACACGAAATGTCACTGACTGACTGCGTGTCAGAAGGCCATCATATAATAAATGAACGTGCCACAATGTAGAGTTTATCTCATGACACAGCTTCTTTTTTTTTTGCCTCCGTTTCGGGTTTTAGTGTGTTGGTCTAGAGAGATAGAGTGGTTCCTGGACACCTTATTATTAAAACAACGGTAACTTTTTGGGAGAACACACAGTTGCTTTTTGACTAGAGCAGACCTTGCATCCTGCCTAAGGCATCATTTTTCAATTTGCAGACATTATTGAGAAGAATGTTTGTCAACTGCCTTGCACAAGTGTCCAATTCTTCGAACTCTGACAGCATAGCCGCTGTCAGGTCCCTGACCAATTTTCGTTGAACACGTAACCTCAAGAATTGAGCGATGTGCTGGGACGACATAAGCTTATTCACAACAACTTCAACACGCATCACCACACTGACGACATATCGTGTTAAAATGTGCCGTCCACATCAATTTTGAAGCATCTGTCAAATGATGAACCACTACATACATCGTAAGAAAGTGTCCTCTTCCAAAACCGTATGTAATCTGCGGTATTTGCAATTGAAAGTTTTCACAGTCACAGAGGCTAAGTATCCATCTACGTAGGTCAGAATCAAGGTCTTGGACGACAGCGCTGCTAAATCATAGTCAATGATGTCAAATGAAAAAGCTAGAACACAACGCAAAATACTCTGCGTATGCGACTCGCATGCTAAAACCAACAAAATATTTCAAAACAGCTGGGAGGGTTTAACCTTTCTTATTACTCGACTTAACATTGCTACAGTTCAGATGATACAAGTACGACTACAACTGCAATTTATGATTACCATTTTGATTTGTTATTATTGCTCCAATCGATCTATAATGAACTCAGTTGACAGTAATATTCCTCTGTTGATTACCTCGGGTTACTTTTGACCAATTAGCCGTAAATTCCAATTAAATGTCATTGTGATGACTCTTCATTACTTTTAGCTAATCTTGAACGAATTGAATTTTTATATGATGATTAATGACATTATGATTACTCTTTTGATTACTTTGAGTTACTCTCAATTCAATTGACTTTAATTCGGCCTAAGTGACATTTGGCAACTCGTGTTTACTTTGCGTAATTATAGTGCTAATTTATCGGTTGTGAGCTCAATCATACATTATTATTAGTCTTCAATACCTCGGGTTACTTTCGATCCAAAGGACCTTAATTCAACCTCAATGATATTGCAATCACTGTTTTAATTTTTGGGGGCTAATATTTAACAAACGTGTTTATTATTAGCTCAATTGACGTCACAATTACTTGTTTGATTTTTTTAGTTACTATTGATCAAATAGACTTTAATTCGACCTAATTGACATTTTGGCTAATCATTTGATTACTTCGTGTTATTATACCTCCAATTAATGTATAATGAGCTCAGTTGACATTAATCTTACTCTGATTACTTCGAGTCACCTTTAACCCAGTGGACTTGAATTGGACCGAAATGACATTGGGATGACTCTTTTGATTACTTTGAGCTTATCTTCATACAAACTTATTTAATATAAGCCTAATGTATATTATGATTACTCTTCTGATTACTTTGAGTTACCTTGACCCAATGGATTTGTCCTATTTCACAGTTTGGTAACTCTTCTGATTACTTTGAGGTCACATTCAACCAATTGGTCTTTTAAGAGCTCGATTCACATTTTTATTACTCTTTTGTCCCAATTAATCCTAGTTCGGCTTAACCGACATTGTAATGAGACTTGATTATTTTCCGCTAATTTTCAACCAATTGATTTATTGTGCGCCTAATTGACATGATAATTAATATTTTTTATTTACTATGAACTCAATGGGCTTTAAATCCGCCTATTTAACATATTGGTGACAAGTTTAAGTACTTGGAGTTATCGCGCCACCAATTTCTCTATCATGAGCTCAATTTTCATTGCAACTACTCTTGATTATTTCGAGTTACTATTGACCCAACGAACATTATTTCGGCTTAATTGACAGGTGGATGATTCTTGATTACTTTGAGCTAATATTGAACTAATTGCGTTCTTATGAGCTAAATTTACCTTATGATTACCCTTTAAAATGGTTAGAGCTGCTATTGACCTAGTATTTTGATTACTTTAAGTCATTATATAGCTAATTTAATATTTATTAACTATTATGATGATTTGATTACTTTTTCAATTACTTATAGTTACTTTAGAGTTACTTTATACTTCACTTCAATTACCCCCGGACACCAGAGGGCAGCGTCGGACCAGAAGTCCTTCTAGTGAGCCCTTCTCCTCGTCCGACGGCTCCCTTTGGTGCCCGCGGTACTTCCGAGGTAAACGATTTTTAATTCCGATATTAATGGAAAAAATGTAGAGCCCTTTCACTTCACGTGAAAATCACCAGCGAAGCTATTTTAACGTCTAGGACGATGCCTAGAGGACGACGTCTAGGACGACCTCAATGACGACTTCTAGGACGACCTCGAACACCGCCTAAAGGACAACGTTTAGGATGATCTGAGGGACGGCGTCTAGGACGACCTCAAGGACGACTTCTTGAACAACCTCAAGGACGACGCCTAAAAGGTGACGTCTAGGACGACCTCAAGGACGACGTCCAGGACGACCCTCAGAACGACGCCTATGACGATCTCAAGGGCGCTGTCTAGGACGACCTCAAGGACAACCTCAAGCAGGACGCCTAGGACGATTTCAAAAACGACATCGAGGAGGACCTTAAGGACGACCTTGAGGACGACGTTTAGAACAACCTCATGGACGACGTCTAGGATGACCTCAAGAACAACCTCGAGTACGACGCCTAGGACGACGTCTAGGACAATTTTAAGGACGAACTCAAGGACGACCTTTAGGACAACTTTAGGGAAGCCGTCTAGGACGACCTCAAGGACAGAGTGTAGGACAACTTCAAGAACGACCACAAGGACGACGCCTATGACGATCTAAAGGGCGATGTCTAGGACGACCTCAAGAACAACCTCAAGCAGGACGCCTAGGACGATTTCAAAAACAACATCGAGGAGGACCTTAAGGACGACCTTGAGGACGACGTTTAGAACAACCTCATGGACGACGTCTAGGATGACCTCAAGAACAACCTCGAGTACGACGCCTAGGACGACGTCTAGGACAATTTTAAGGACGAACTCAAGGACGACCTTTAGGACAACTTTAGGGAAGCCGTCTAGGACGACCTCAAGGACAGAGTGTAGGACAACTTCAAGAACGACCACAAGGACGACGCCTATGACGATCTAAAGGGCGATGTCTAGGACGACCTCAAGGACAACCTCAAGCAGGACGCCTAGGACGATTTCAAAAACGACATCGAGGAGGACCTTAAGGACGACCTTGAGGACGACGTTTAGAACAACCTCATGGACGACGTCTAGGATGACCTCAAGAACAACCTCGAGTACGACGCCTAGGACGACGTCTAGGACAATTCTAAGGACGAACTCAAGGACGACCTTTAGGACAACTTTCGGGAAGCCGTCTAGGACGACCTCAAGGACAGAGTGTAGGACAACTTCAAGAACGACCACAAGGACGACGCCTATGACGATCTAAAGGGCGATGTCTAGGACGACCTCAAGAACAACCTCAAGCAGGACGCCTAGGACGATTTCAAAAACAACATCGAGGAGGACCTTAAGGACGACCTTGAGGACGACGTTTAGAACAACCTCATGGACGACGTCTAGGATGACCTCAAGAACAACCTCGAGTACGACGCCTAGGACGACGTCTAGGACAATTTTAAGGACGAACTCAAGGACGACCTTTAGGACAACTTTAGGGAAGCCGTCTAGGACGACCTCAAGGACAGAGTGTAGGACAACTTCAAGAACGACCACAAGGACGACGCCTATGACGATCTAAAGGGCGATGTCTAGGACGACCTCAAGGACAACCTCAAGCAGGACGCCTAGGACGATTTCAAAAACGACATCGAGGAGGACCTTAAGGACGACCTTGAGGACGACGTTTAGAACAACCTCATGGACGACGTCTAGGATGACCTCAAGAACAACCTCGAGTACGACGCCTAGGACGACGTCTAGGACAATTTTAAGGACGAACTCAAGGACGACCTTTAGGACAACTTTAGGGAAGCCGTCTAGGACGACCTCAAGGACAGAGTGTAGGACAACTTCAAGAACGACCACAAGGACGACGCCTATGACGACGTATAGGACAACCTGTAGGACGACCTCACGAAGAACGTCTAGTACAACCTCAAGGGCGACCTCGAGGACAACGCTAAGACGACCTCAGGGATGACATCTAGGACGACATCAAGAACGACGTCTAGGGCGACTTTTAAAACAGCCTTAAGAACAACACCTAGAAGACGTCGTTCTCTAGGCGTCGTCCTCGAGGTTGTTTTAGAAGTTGACCTTGAGATCGTCCTAGACGTCGTCGCTGAGGTCGTCGTAGACGTCGTTCTTGAGGTCGTCCGAGTGGTTGTCCTCGAGGTCGTCCCAAACGCATCCTTGAGATCGTCGTACACGTCGTCCTCAAGGTCGTCCTCCAGTCGTCCTAGAAATCGTCCTTCAGGTCGTCCCAGCCATTGTTCACAAGGTCGTCGTAGACCCCGTCATTGAGGTCGTCCTAAACGTCGTCTTCGAGGTCGTCCTAAAAGCCGTCCTTGAGGTCGTCCTTGACGTCGTCCTAAACGTCGTCTACGAGGTCGTCCTAAAAGCCGTCCTTGAGGTCGTCCTTGACGTCGTCCTCCGGGATTCATCCTTGAGGCCGTTCCAGAAGACAATAAGTGCATATACATATTGTGGATTAAACTGACTGACCCCGGGATTAAAGTGGGTAGCGCAAGGATTAAATTATGTGGCGCTTGGATTAAATTGGGTGGCACTCGGATTAAACTTTCCGTCGCTTGGATTAAAATGAGCGGCAAAACCTGTAGTTAAAACGGAGGTTTGGGCGAGATGGTCGCTCATAATGTAGTACAAGGGTAACAGCGCACCCGTAAAACAGTTAGTCATTCGAGTTCACATGCACAAAAGAAAGACACTAACGCAGCGCTGACTAACAACTCTTTGATATATTTACACGTTTGCCTTCGTCTTCTTTTTGGTATTATGGACATAGAGATTTTTTTTTTGTTCAAGGGGAAGCTAAACATAAACCCAAAACTAAAATTGAAATTAATGTGAGGCTATGCAGTCTAGTTTTTTTTTTTTTTTGGTAAGGCTTAAGTCGGAAGTCTAAACTAACACATCTATCGACATGCTTTGCGACATTCTCTGCCTCGATTTCTCTTGTTAGCTGGCTGTGATGCTTACCGAGCACGGGTGCGCCGTTCCCTCCGTACATCATCTGCCAAACCAACATACCTTCGAAGAGCTCGCAACTTGAACTACTTTCTCCAGAATTGCCTAGTCTATTGAAAACGACGTTGCTCGTCAATTGAGAAGGAGAATATGTAAACCTTCGATCCATGGGCATAATTTTTCCACCACGGCACACAACACATATAAAGCATTGATCGTCCCATTCGCACACACGAAAACACCAAAGATTCTGGTCGCCGACGGACGGAGTGAATGACGCAGGCGTCGTGTCTCCGCATTTCCAACGGCCTTCGACGTTGCCCGATTACTAATATCTGGCTTTTGTTCGCTGGCGAGCCGCCCGCCGACTGTAAGATTGCGTCGTCACGTCGCGTTATCTTCTTTTTTTGTCCTTCTTTTTGAATAGAGATTTAGTTGGCTCAGGTACAACCTATAAATTCCATCTTTGAGGCTTAGGCCGAACGCAACGGAGATAGCAGCTCGCTCATTAAAAAAGGAAAACAAAGTGTTTCCCTGGGTCATTCGGAGTGCTTCGTCAACATCGACGCAGATGCTCGGCGGTGAAAACCCTTTGCTGGCGCCCCTCGCTTGGCCCACGAACAGTGACGTAGGCCTCAGTTTTTAGAAGGTGTTGGTTCGGTTGGCAATCGTGTTCTCAGTGATTGAAAACGAGTTTCAGCTGAACGCAGAGGCAGCTCTCGTGTCGAATCTGTGTCATGCGGCTGCATTCTTTAGTGATGTAGAAAATTCAGCAGTATACTTTGGTCCTTTCGTCATGTTTCTGTGCGTGTTCTAATGAACCAATCATAAATAGAAAAGGCCCAGTGACTTGCTGGTCTTTAGATGCTGCTCGATTTGTCACATTAGCTCGTAGCGTCAGCTGAGTTTTTTTATTTACGTTGAAACGAAGTGTAAGGCTTCCCTATCTAGCAGGTGTTGGCATAGTTCAGTACTTTTGCTGTCTGGCAACAATGCAGAGAGAGGAGGAGGTGTCCGCGAGACCTGATGATGCAAGAGCCGACACTCGCCTTGGAGAAGACGTACTGTCCGACCGGGGCATGGTTGCCACGGACAACGTTGAGGATGTCGTAGTCGCTGTCGAGTCGGTCCCCCCTGTCGTCGAACCGAACGCGGCCTGTCTCTCCACGCAGCAGCTTCTGTTTCTTCAGTAATCTACGGAAAGAGAAAGATGCCCCTTAGGGCGAGGAAACTGCTTTCTCAACCAGCGGCTTCCCGACGACTGTACGCAACATCTTCTGCGCGTAATTATTTTAGGAGCGAAGCTCCTTAGGGTCTAGCCTTGTCCGGCGTCCGTGCTCACATCGATTGCACTGCCTCCGGGATCGGTCCGCTTAAAAAAAAGAAAACCGTACGCACGCACGGGAGTTCGAACTCAGGAACGCTTGCTTACGAGGCAGACTTCTTAACCGCCGCTCAACGTCTATACAGGAGAGGGCGCTGCGGTCAAATGCGTATATAATCGCGTTAAACTTTGCATGCATTGGCTCAACGTTTATAGACGAGAGGGCGCTGCGGTCAAATGCTCAACTGCGTATATAACCACCATCTATACCACACATTCTCTTTCTGACATGGACCGTTGACTTAAGCGGTGGAGATGCGTTCCCACGGCGTCTAGCGGATCCAAGCTGATCCGCTAGAAGAACCACTGGCTCTGCATTTCACCGACCATAAAGCAGTAATAATGAAGTCGAAACGCAACCCGGAACTCAGCACTACCTATGAGCAATAAAAAAAAATCAGCACCATCAGCACTACCTATGAACAATAAAATCAGTATCATCAGCACCACCAGAGCTTCGCCCCAATCAACATCATTGACCACGTGGAGATGTGTCCATTTTTTCTTTAACACGAGTCCCGTAGAATCTCCCAGCAACATACTCTATTGTAGTAAGCGCATCGTCACGGCGCATTCATTATCTGTGATTGTTTTAAGCTGTAATAGCAGAGGCACGAATAGGATGAGCGCCGGGACGTTGCGATTTTGGTCCGGCTTGATTGGTTCGGATTGATGGATGGTTGCTAACGGCTCTACTTTTTATAACGGGCGGTAGCTTGCGCCACCTAGCCTAGAAACAAAAAGCGTCGACAGCGCTCGGCCTTAGTTTGAAACGAAGTATAGCTGGCATGACTGGATAAACCTCAAGCAACATAACAAGTAATTTTTTTTCATTCTACTCCCATTCCGCGGTGTTATAACGTTACCTGATCAACTGTCTGTTAGAGAATTAATACCTGACATGTTTGACCTGTCCATGCATCACTCGCTACCTGACCGCCACTGACAGACATTTTATCGAGTCAGCCGCGGCAAGGTAAATAGTAAATTAGTAGACTACAGAACAGAACAAAGCGTGTTCTACTTTATCAGTCCAAGCTTATCTTTGCCTTTAGCCCTCCTGCACACTAACACAAGGAGGATCATTGGAAAATGCAATCAGCAAACGAACGGAATAGCAATCACGTAAATATCGAAGAAGGTATCAGGGTAGGCTTCAATGACACTAAGCCAGTACAGGCGTCATTCAAAATGGCATTGAAAAAGCGTTGACAGTTGCATTCAGAACTAGGATGCAAGCATGTAGAGTGACCGGGTGGTCCAGATTTGATACAGGCCATCAGTGGCGTAGTAAGGAGTTTTTCTTTTGGGGTGGGGGACTGAGGGGGCTGGGCTGTTCATGACTTGAGGTGCGGGGGGGGGGGGGGGGTACAAAATAGATGTGAGTTTGGGGTGAATTTGGGAGTGGGGGTGGGGGGGATGGTGAAGCCCCTTAAGCCCCTCCCCTGGCTACACCACTGCTGACCATGTGAAGATCTTGAAAACATGCTGCTTCAGTGAACCTCGAATATAGCGTTTCACTCATCACGTTTTGAGCTATCCGGCTCCGGTAGTACTGTCCACGTACCCGACCAGCTTGATGCCCGACTCCCAGGAGTTGCCCAGCATGCTGCAACTGATGTTGGGCTGGGTCATGTTGGGGTCCTTTTGGAGCTCCTTGAGGGCCAGGGCAATCACTTCCACGCTGTCACGAATGTGCGCTCTCTCGTCGGAAGCGTTCACAAGCTCCAGTCCCAGCACCCCTTTAGGAAAACAAACAAGCAATGAAGGTCCGATAGTTCTCGATTGGGTTTCGAACGAGCAGCAATTTGAGTCGAAATTGAGCCGGGTTTCTAGTTCACCGCTAAACTTAGCAAGAAAATTGTGACTTGAATTGTGAAATAAGTGGACACCATGTGATGTTAGGTGGTCGCATGAAGCCCTGACGTCTCGTAACGCGACCACGTCATGTGACTGCACGTCACCGGACGTCAATTTCCCGTCCACTTGTAGGAAACTTGGCGACTAGTGACGTCATTGGTTTCACATGACACCGCGACTTGAGGGTGTGAAGTCGGTTTTCCCGCTAAATTTAGTGGGAGATCGAAGTCTCGGGGCACCATTACGTCAGGAGACATTGTGCCATTATGCGGTCAGACTACTGCAAGAAATAAGGGGCCGAAAAAGGTTCCATTATAGACCTTTTTCGTGTACTCTCGTCCCCAGTCTCCTAATAGGCGTATCCGGTATGGGCGACGAAAAAAACGTAAAACAATGTTTTCCCCCATACTGAAAGTGACGAAAATTTAAGATGGTAGCGCCCTTGTGAAAAAGGTCTATAAAGCTGCCGCTTTGAAGAGTACGAGGAACGTTAATGCATGAATCAGCTCTGACGACTGGTTAACAGAAGCAATACGCAGTTAAAAAGGAAATGGTGGTTACCATCTGGGACATTTGGTGCTCTCAGGGCTTGCTCCGACACAATCCAGACATAGCCTGGACTGGTCATGTTCAGAAAGGCCACTTCGGAATATATCCCTGTCGCATCGTCAGCGCTGAAAGTAAGTCAATGGTTAAGTCTCTTGGTCTGATGAAAATATATTAAGCGGAACATTGCGCTGCTTTCATAGAAACGCTCTCCTAATGTTGTCTTTTTGGCCGACTTGAAAGGGTATTAATTTTTCTGCACTAGTCTCAGGTGTTATATTATAGTTAGAACTTCGTCTTTTTTAATTTGGAGGTGTTTTGTTTTCTACAGATACGGTGTTCTTTCTGTAAATTGGTTAAGTTATAACCAATTTATACCAAAATTAACAATCTATGAGGAAAAAATAAACCCGGAACAAAACACACACACACACACAACCGGATTTGGAAAAAAAAAGAAACACCGAAAATACATAATTCTAATTGTGATTAATGATCACCAACTCGCCTGCACAGTCACTGTTATTTCGTTTTGTTTTTATTGTTAGTCTTCGAAACGGCAGACGGATCTCCACAATAAACAGCCATTGGCCGACTTTTGTTTGTTTAACCTTGCTTAATAAGTAAGCTCTCGTTGTTTTCGTAAAGCAAATTATCGTTCCTAGCGCAACGTTGGATACTAGTCAAGTCTGCCAGCAAGTTCTTGGAGTGTGGCGTTTGGCTTCTGCCGTCCGCCTCGGTGCATCAATCAGGCCAGCCAGGAGTTCAAATGAAGGGTTTTATTACCATTCCGTGCCACAGTCTCTCATCGCCAGAATCACAACTGCTTTCCGACGGGGCGACGGGTCCCGTTTTGTCCACCCCGAAAAATCAAGAACCGCGCGTGGACGAGAGGGAGAGCGAGACTCCTGCCGCCTGCGTCACGCGCGCCCACACCTTCTGGGAGGCGGGGGTGGAAGACGACGGGGTGGAGGGGACGTGACAGGCGGTCAGCCGAAGAGACATGAGCTGGCGCGCGACAGAGCGTGCTGCGCGAGGCTGGGGCCGGGCAGGAACGATGGAGCCGTTCTAGCTGGTCTGGCCCATGGCGATCCCCGGAGCGGTCCACCAGCGAGGTTCTGACCACGACCGGAGGGAACGGTGAGCACAAACCGGCCTGGGCCATGACGGTCCCGGGGTGGTTCCGCAGCGAGATTTGGGCTATGATAGGCTGGGACTGCTAGCTTGCGCAGCACTGGCGTGGGAAGGCCGATCCGCAGGCCTGGACACGGACTCCGACTGCGAGATCAGAACGACGGGCGACAACCAGGGTCAGTGAGCCGGGAGTGCCAGCTCTCTACGACGGGCGACCGGGAAGTACAGTAAACCAATTCGCTGTTGTCTCGTTGTGCTGTGTCACTCCCTGGGAGACGAGCGAAGCGCACACCGATCGGGTGGCGATTATTGTAGAGCGATCCCACAACCTTCCACCTCTCAATGTCCATGTCGAAGAGGGCCTCCTTCTGATCAGGGTTTCGGAGTAGCTGGACTGCCTCCGCGACGGCGAGAGGGCCAGGGGTGATCGGGGCCGCCTGGGCGGCTCGGGTGGCCAGGGAGGCGTGGGTGGATTGATCCGCCCGTGGGTCGCAATACGCAGCGAGGTAGATCTGGTGTTGGCCGGTGCAGCTTAGGCACCCCGCAGATGTGGCAGAGGAAGCGCCGCTCACCTTTGTTGTGGATGGCCGGCGGTTCCACAGCCTGCCGGTCTTCCAACTTGATGCCCCGGAAAGACTCCGGGATGGCCCCAACTGATCCTACCAACGGTGGTGGGAGGCCCACCCGACTGGTCGCCCGCTTTGCACGAGCTCCCTGACCATGTTCACGGACTGGTCCTTTGACACAACACCAAAGAGCTTCAGAACATGCCGGCAGCTGAGGCAGTGAAAAGTGAACCATGGAGCTTGCACACTATCGCATCATTTCCCATTTTCCACCAACGTCGCTAATGAATGAATGATTGTTGGCATCTAAATGCCTTCATCACAGCTGCCTCCTGCAGGAACTCGATGCGCTCACACATGGACATACTCTCGTTCACCGCCTTGAAGGCATATTTGGTCACTAGATTGTCCGGCTTGAAGTTGTAGGCGAGTGCCCAGTAGACCCCGCCAAAGGAGTCCTGGCCCAGTGCCTTGACCAGATGCATGAACCCCCGGGGGGAACCTCCCACTCGTCAGGCTTATATACCGAGCAGACCCATCCTAGGTTTAAAGAGGCGTAAAAGTTAGCACGCAAAATAAGAGCCCGAGAAAAAAAATTACCAAAGAAGGAAAAAAGGAAAAAGCAAAGCAGCGACGTTTCGGACGCGTGCCCTTCGTCAGATGATCCCAGACACTTTGGGATCCCTCTTCTTCTTCTGGTAAAAGACGCAAGTGATGGCAAGGAAGGCAAGAACCATCACTATCACCACCACGCGGATGGCAACCGCAAAACTGGAACGGCGTCCTTCTCCGCCATGGAAGCTGGCGATTCCGATGCTGCCGTTGGCGATTGCTTCACGAATCTAAGCGCAGCTCACGTTCGGCTTCCACCGTCCTCATCGGTGCATCAACCAGGCCAGCCAGGAGTTTAAACGGGTTCTGTGCCAGAGTCCTTCCTCACCAGAATAACTACTGCTCTCTGAAGGGGTCATTTTTGTCCATACAAAAGCTCGGGGAACCACCCCCCTTCATTGATAGACGTGCTGCGCTGCGAAGTTCTACAGAAAAAACGCGTGACCAAAAATTTAAAGGAAAAGCTCATGTCACAACAGTCTCGCCCTACCGCGCACTCACGCGCCGCCCCCCTTCAGCGCGGCGCGTGAGTGCGCAGTAGGGCGAGACTGTTGCGACATGAGCGCACCCACAAGTCACTGACAACTTCAGAAACGTACGACGTCGTGCGTACCAAGCACATCCTTATCGCTTCTTAGTCATTGAAATTGCAGCATTTTCCAATAAAGACGCCAAAGAACGAGGAAAAAAAACAAGAAACATTAACGTAATAATCTTTACTTTGCGTTTCTTGAACCGTCGGCTACTCTAGACAAACTCAATCCTTTGACGTCACGCCACAGCGGTGGCGCTGCTGTCGGCACTGCGCATGCGCAGATACTCCGCGTCAGGCGAATCTGGCTTCTGCGCGCCCGAAAGTGCACGCACCCGGTGTGGGCATAGGCGGGCTTGTTTGTAATGGGGTATCCACACGAAGGAGAACTCCGCGGACGGATGTCGTGACGTCAACAACCCGGGAAACTCCGTCCCCGGCTCCGCCGCGTGCACCTGCGGAGCTTTCGTGCTGTCAGCACAAAGCCTCCGCGCCTCCGCCACGGAGGAGAACGCGCCGCGAGGCGTCAAAAAGGGATGACATGTGTCTCACGTGATGCGCGATCCGCGGAGGAAAGTGGCGGATTTCTCCTTCGTGTGAATACCCCTTAAACGGTGTTTTGGCATATGGAAACTTTGATTGCCCTCGTGCTGTGTGACAGGAAGGAGTTATTTTGCTACAGTGTGCCTGACAAACAGGTGTTAAATACGAATTCATTTTAAATATAATATTCGAGCAAGCTTGATGCAAACAGTTGCTATAGTCATTCATTAGAATTTGCTTTTAACTAGCGAAATGGCTAGGAGTCAACACTCACGTGGCGTACAGTACAAACACTCGGCAATGGAGCTCTTTCGATTCTTCCAGTTCCTGAGTGATGTCCGTGATCCCCGGTTCGTATTCGATGACTCGTTCGAGCTGCAAGCATTCGACGCGCATCTCATTATAAGTCCTGCTGTAGTGCATCTCTCGTGGTTTGAAAGAAAGAAAAAAAAAAAACTATACACAAAGTGCCAAAATAAGCCATAGAAAAAACAGCGGACACAAGTAAGAAGGCACACACACACAGGCGTTTTGCGCGTGTGTCTTCTTCCTTCTGTCCGTTGGTTTTTTGCGCCCCTCACCATGCTTCATAGCGTTCACCAACTAGCTCAACTACAAGTTCTTCCACCTGTTCCAAGAAGATTGAAGAGGGTCTAGTTGCGCAAACGCTCCCGCGATTGAGGCAGATTTTGAGGTTATACGTGCCCGTGCATGTCTCGAAAATGTGATGGGTATGGAAGATAAACAGTAAATGTATGGAGTGACAACTGGGGACATAAAAGCTCTTTTTATCAAACGCTTTCGAATAGGCAAATAAGAAAGTGTATACATTTCAGCCCTTGACGTTAAAAACAAAAAAAGCATGGCAATGGTAACGTAAAACCGGTGGGGCATGTTACGCAACATAACGCGAGGCGACATTGGAGCTCTTTCAAGCACAAATCGGTACGAATAAAATTGATTTTATGCGACACGGACAAGCAAGATAGACATGACAGCTTTGCTCGGACGAGGCATTGGCAAACACTAATTAGCAGGTTCTACCTCAGCAACAAGCACTTGTGAACTTATGATAGCCTTGTTGTTGGAAGGAAAATCGAAATGAAGAAACCGGCGGTTGCTTAATTGTTTGCGTAAACAGTATCACGTTCTCCACACGATATCGAGCGCAAACCGACGATGACAACGAAGAAACCAATAACTTAAGTGTAGAAGCAGTCTCGTTTTGTACGCCACTCGCCTTGATGCCCTGAGGCTCTGCTTTGTTCTGGAATCGGCCGAGTGTGGCTCTGCCGTCGTTGTCGGAGCTGTGGATGAAGACGACGCAGCGGTACTTGAGGAACTGGAGCAGTTCCACCCAGACGTCGGCCTGCTGGGAGTACGGGGGTACGGTCCGAAGGAACGTGCGGTGCAGGTTCTGCGGGAACAGGACACAGGCATGCAATCGGAGCTTGTATACGCCAACGAAGCGAATTACTCCCTCTCTCTGGCTACTGCAAATGTGATGCGATACTATTTGACAGGTTGTCCATTAGGCCGGTGAGCTTCATATTTCCGTATTTCTTCGGCAACCCAGCTTTTTCTGAATAAGTTGCGCCACCTATAGGTTCGTGACTGGATTCGAGATTTAGTGGCTAGAAACAAAGACGTCGTAAGCGATCCGTTCGACCACAATGCTGGGCACATATTTTGAAACCTAGATTCCCCCAAAATGGCTTTTGTCTCAAATCTCGACTATCTCCGACCCCGAAATTGATACAAAGGAGCAATATTCCTTCTCTGCTCGGGCCGGCAGAAACAGAAGGAGGGTGCTAAATCTATTTACTCTTCAACGAATATTACTGAACAAGGTAAATTTTCGCGTTCTATTGGGACGTTTTTGCGCCGTCTTTGCGTCAATCCACCTTTTTCCGGATTCTTGTTTTGGGGGTATTTCCGTATGAGGATAAGTGAGCGCGGCAGGAGCGAGCGCGAATACTCTTTGAGTAAGGACGTTTGAGACAGGTGGATGGATGGATGGATGCTAAGGGCTCTACCCTTTACAATGGGCGGTAGCTTGCACCATCTAGCCCGCAAAAAAGAAAGAAGTATGATTTTTGTTTTTTTTTCCTTTTCCAAGCAAGTTTCCTTCACCTATGCATTTTTGCTGCTTTCAAAAGGTGGTGCTGGGTATTGCCAGGAGAGGTCATCCTAGCCTAAGATAACCTTTGGGAGTCCGGGCATAAAAAATTAAAACGATGCCCCCGCGCCTCCTTCCAACGGCGAGGGAGTCACCAATCTTTCTCTGGCCAAACCTTGCCGGCGTCACTCCAACGCCGAGCCCACTGGGAGTCAGGGTTGAGACTTTGGGCCACAACCACGCGAGAGGGAGTCCCAATTTTGTTAAGTCTCGCCTGTTCACTGCTTTGCTAATTTATGTCTTTCAATTATCTCTACATAATTTCCACCAGTCTCCTAATTTCTCTTTGTTATTGTAATGCCCTTATCACCCATTCCACCCTTCTCGTCTGCAAACCCTAGCGCCCCGGCCAAATCCATCGCCCCCTCGGAGGGTGGAAGCAAGCCTCGTGCACTTCAATACAACATGCTCTATTGTTTCGCCTTCCCCTTGGCACGCGGCACACCGTATATATATTTCCTCATGCTTAACCTTACGTGTATATCCTACCCCTCAATACCCCTGATTTAGCCTCAAATAACAACGAGCCCCCCGTGAATTATCGTAGCATTGTTATTCACTTATTTACTGTTTTCGTCCCCTATTTATAGTGAAAGCCAATTTTTCCTGCATCCTTTCCTTCAACATTTTACTTTTGGCTTAACTCCTTTTTTTCCCCAAGTTCGTCTGCTCTGTCCCAGCACTCGACTGTCGGTATTTAAAGTTCAGCTTTTGGGTTCGGTTTGTCCATGTAGTAAATAGACTTTTCATATAGAAATGCTTATACACCTTTCTCGCCCACCGTGCATCCTCCATTGTGTCTAGTATTTGTTCAAATTTCAATTTACTGGTAGCCTTTCTCTGTTTGAAGAGGCCCAGCCCATGTCACACTGCACTCCTTTATTTGGTGTATTCCCATGTGCCCCGAGTGCTCGCTTGCCCGCGCTTCTCTGTCGGGTCTCTGAAATCGACTGGACCACAGACTTCGTACCGCGTTGCAAAACAACAAACCCGGCACCATGACTCCTTTTCATATTCCCGGAACTATTTCATATCTACTGTAATTCTACAGAGCAATTATGCTTCATAATCGGTGAATACCTTCAAGCTTTCTTCAGAATATTTTTTTCCTGGTAATTTTTTACTCGCAGCAACTTATGCTTATCCACATGTTCTATTAAAGTGTTTTGTATTTACAGTATGCCCCCCTTTTCATCGCTAAAGACCATTATTCTTGACTTTTCGCTACTGAATATCAGGCCCAGAATCTTGTTCCTTTCGACATATCTTGATAAGCTCCTGTAACCTATTACGGCTATCTGCTAGCACTACAATGTCGTCTGCGTAAACAAGCCTGATTTGACTTGGTTTATGTTCCCCTTCTCTTTACATACGACACATAGGAACTTAAATTGCACTCTTCCAATTTATTTTCCATCGTACTCGCGGGTATATCATAAAAAGTAGTGGCGACATCAGGCAACCCAGCCTCACTCCTCTTTGTATTGGAGCTAATGCCGTTATTTCTGCTTCCCATGTAATAACCACCATGGCATTTGTGTATACCTGCCAAAAAGGCTAATCAAATTTCAATACAGATCATACTCTTTCAGGTGTACCCAGAGTTGCTTCTGACTCACAATGTCGAACGCACCTTTAACGTCTAGAAGTGCTGTCCATAACGGTCTTTTACTTACCCGTGTCAGCTGTACACGAATCCCGGAGAAAAGCTCACCGGAGAAAAACTCACCGCAAAACCGGCGGATGCGGAGAAAAGCTCACCGGCCATTGAGCGTATGCGGAGAAAGGCTCCCCGATCTTTTTTCCTTTGTTATATATGGAGGCTGTTGGAACATGCGCAACATATATAAATTTATTATCATTAAAATTTGTCAGCTTTGAAAAAATAAAATGTCGTTTTTTGTATATCGCTCCCAAATTAATAATTGCGGGCGAGTGTTTTCTGTGGCTTACTATCTAGGCAACGAAAGCCTAACTGAAAACTTTATGAACTTGAAGAACAGGAAAAAGTTCAAAAACTAGTAATGTCTGCCAAAAATCTAAAAATCAAAACCGTAAATGCCGAAAATCTGAAAGCGCATGCGCAAGACGCGGTGCCTGAAATTCTATTTGAAACTTTGGTTAACCTTTGAAAACGGAATAAAACAGTCAGTAGGATATCGAGGCTTCTTTCTTCCACGGATATGCACGTTTTCTAGCCGTTCGTGCTGGTGTTTCCACACGTTGCCTTTGTGTGATAGTACCCTTCTACGGCCAGCCACCATGACATTCAGAGCTGCACACTGGCACCGTTGTTACTCGTGACCTATATAAGTAGTAGTCTTCTGTAAGGTAGCGATTAGGGCGAGTTGAATAACGTTATACATGATGAAAACCGCTCAAATGACGATGACGGAGTGAATACAACAAACACGACAGGACGAAGCTGTTCTTGCAACTAAAGGTTTGTTAGAGAAATTAACAGAAAGAAAACAGCGTAGCCGACACTGATTACATCAACAAATACTTACTCATTTATTAGGCACTACACAATATTTGGAGCTGAAACGGTTCACACACCGCTATTCATATTAGCTCGCAAAGAACAAACCTCTTTATCTGACAGAGCCACCGACAGCGCACAGTCAGCTGTCAATAAATTGTTGCCTTTTTTACCGGTGTACGATGCTCTGATTTTATACGTGCGGCGTCATTAATATACAGAATCGGTGATTACTAATTTCTGAGAAATTATTAAATATGCCCAATGAACTTCAAGAATATTACAAAAAAAAAAGACATATTTTTAATGAAGTGACGAATCCGAATTCTGTTAAATTGCCATGTTTGACGCAGAATCTGCTAAGTTAAAAAGATCGGTGAGCTTTTCTCCGCATCTGCCGGTTTTGCGGTGAGCCTTTCTCCGGCGAGCTCGTCTCCGGTGAGCTTTTCTCCGGTGAGCTCATCTCCGGTGAGCTTTTCTCCGCCGCCCCAACGTTCCAACCGGTACCTTATACTTTCCGCTCCGTCTCATTCCCCCGCGATCGTCTCAGTTGTCTGATCAGTGCTCTCGTTTTGTGTCGTGCTGTTGTTTGCGTTTTGTCAATCTCATTCGTTTAAAGTCCTGATAATGCTAGTTCGATTGTTCGTTTAATAAATGATCCTTGGTTGTAACCCTCTACCCTCATACCTTCCTGTGTGGTCAATGAACGATGGAACACTTCTGTTTTTCTGCTCTGTGTATTGATTTGCTCCCAGAAATTCTTTACCGCGTTCCAATCATTTCTTTTTTTTTAATTTCCCTTCATCCTCCACGGCATTCCTGCTCTCCCAATCTCGGCCGGAATTCGAGCAGATGCCTCCTTTATTATTTCCTGGAATTTATTACATTTTGGTGCTACTTCAGCAGCTGTGGCCGCCCTTTTCTTCGCCCATCTATGCTCCGCCGAGGCCTCTTTTCTTTCTGCTATGGCTGTTTTAACTTTTGTCCCACCTGCTTTTCCCAGTGTGTGCTACATTCCCACTTCTACTTTTCGCATGACTTTAAAAATCCCAGACTTTTTAAATAAAATGTTGACGAAATCGTCATATGTTCATTCTTTCTCCGGTTACACCAATACTATAGTCTCAACTCGTTCGGACACGTCCTGTAGTTGGGCGTCGTTGAAGGTCAATATAATTTATCGTTCAAGAATTTGGGATTCTAGTTCTGCTGTTCCAAATTTTATTTTAAGTCGCTTATGATCACTCCCCAAACTTTTGGTGCTTTCCTAATTTATATCCATCTATTGTCCTAGCCTATTGTTGAATTTGGTAGACAATCTGTAATCAATGTTTGATTACAGATTGATTCCCTCCCATGTTATTGTCCACTCCCATTTTAACTGGACGTTGACCAGCACTAAAACAAGAGAATCGCCAAATGTTTGTAACATTGACTTGACAAATTAGAGCGTGCTGGTAAAATTATGGGGATAAAAAAAAAAAAAAAAACATGAATGGCGGAGGGGACGAGGACAGGAAAAAACATGTTTTCAAGACAGCTTGTACATTTTTTGACATTCCTCAACGACGCGGATCGCTTCAGCGGCGGCCTGACTAAAGAGGATAAGGAAATGAGACGAAGAAAGGGATAAATGGGAAGGGTCTTTGTCCTCTAATTAGCGTCCACAATCCTCCCCATCTAAGTTCACTGTCGCACCGATTGCATCCTCCTTGTTGAATGTGTGTATCCTTCCGAGTCTTCTAAGTGTGCATTC